TGTCAGTCAAAGCACGGTCAAAGAGGTACATTTTGAGATGAGCCTTGAATAAGGTGAGGGAGAAAGCAGATAGGAGAGACTCCAGGTTAGAAGTCTCTCCGACCACAGACCCGGCCCCTTATTAGGTTTCTGGGGAGAAGCCCCGGATTACCTTAACCAATGATCGACTTGACAATTCCAATATGGGTGTAAAGAAAGTTTTATTGCAACATTTGTAGAATCATTCATACACACAGTACATAAGCGATAATTAACAGAATCGAAACGATATTACAATATTGGTGAGCTTCCTTTATACCCTGAAATAAAATTTTGATGCCTCTTGTACCACTAAGCCATTCCACAGTTGTTTTTCCCAGTACTCAACTTGTTTTTGTTCTCTCGAGTTCCTGTTGAATTATAATACTTCTCTATCTTCTCTCTCGAGTTCCTGTTAAATCATTCCATTAAGTCAGGGTACCCCGCAGATTACATGCCCACGCCTTGTGATTTAGACCACACTGACGTCACGTACCAACTTGTACCACTCTTTACCTCCCTTAACCTGCCAGCCCTCAAAATGTACATATATGTAAAATGCAGTTAAATCGCTATATTCTAACACCTTTGCGGCAGGGTGGGGAGGCGGTTCTCTGCAGAGGCAGAATGGTTTATCTTCACTCAGCACTGCTGCGAGAGAATGTGACCATTGTTGAGACTTGAAGCTGAATCTGGCTTTCCCAAGCAACACTGCAGCTTGCCAATGAATTCGAACCATCTCACTGTAAAACATATTCATTTCACTGGTTTCAATAATATTTAATTCAGAATTATTGCTGCTGTCATTTTTTATTAAAGTTTAGAGATCTGAAATGTCACATTTTATTAACATTTAAAAATCTTAAATTACAAGTGGCACGCGCTATTAAATAATGCCATTAAAATGTGCAAACAGTCTAGAGGATTGTGACTAAATAAAATGAAAATAAATTCTTCTGCTCTTTCTCCTGTCTCTTTCATTTAATACAGTCATAATAATTGGCTCAAAGTGCTGACCGAAAACACAGCATGGCAAAAGAATATTTCTCTTTAATTTTAAATGAGGCGATCTGAAATATTTCTCAGAAATAGAAATATTATAAAAGTATTGGGTCTATTTCTTACCAAATTTCTTAATTAAGTAATTACTTATGAAATACCAAAAAATCGACCACTCATCATTTATTTGGTACCTCCCAAATTTGTGCGCTTATCTGTCCTGAACATTATCAATAAAAAATAGTAGCTTTTAACGATCACTTTGAATCAGACTGGGATCTTCACTGACTCATTCAGAATGATGCAGCAAGTAAAATAGAAGCCAGACTGGTTGGCCATTCATATGTGGTAAAAGTCTGCATTGCTAATAGAGACAAGTCATGGGCAAAATTACTTCAGATTTTCTATTAGGTTTGTATGGCTTAGTGGGTAAGATAGTAATGTAGACTGTGTACATAGTTGGAGAATTGTACCCAGCAAAAAGATTCAGATGACAAAAACCCTTTGTCCGTCTGATCTCATGCTCCCGGAATATCAACCCTACAGTCTTCCTATCGTAGCATCAGGCTGTTTTACTAGCCTCAACCTAGTACTTTCCTGGTGTTAATTATCCATTGTTTATTTTAAATTTAAATTCAAATTAAATATCTGTCTTAAAATTGTCCTTCACAACGCTGACCCTATGCTCCTGTGTCCTGCTGCGTGAGAATATTTGAAAATAAACAACAACAACAACAACAAATTGGATTGATATACAGCTTTTCACATTGGGAGGACATCCCAATTTGCTAGACAGGTGAGGGTTTGCACCTGAGAGGGTGGCTGGATTCCAGAGGGGTGGGATCAAGGGTGGTGGGGGCAAGATGACCAATGGCACAGTTAAAGAGGAAGGTTTTGAGATGGACCTTGAAGGATGCAAGAGAAGCGACTTTGTGATGGAGTTACAGAGAGGCTGAAAGCCCAAACGCCAATGGTGAGGTAGGCAGGGTGGGGGACGTGAAGAAATACTAGCCAAGCTAAGTCCAGTTGGTAAGGTTTTAAAAGGTTACAGAGTTAGGGTGAGACAAGACCCTGGAGAGATTTAAGAGTAAGGACGAGGATATTGAACTCAATCCTCTGGGGGATGGGGTGTCAGCGGAGCCAGATGAGGATGGAGATGATAGGCTCAACTAGTATGGGAGAAGACATGAGTTGCAGAGTTCTGGATCGTTTGCAGCTTGTCGGGAAGAGTTGGTAAGTCCGGCAAGCAGAAAGTTGGCATAGTCAAGCCTGGATGTGGTGAATGATGCGGAAAACTGTTGTTTTAGGTGTACTTTCTCTATCTCATTTAACAACTTGTACTATGACAAAATCCTGCTGAGAAGTCTGTTTGTATGGCCGAAAAGACCTAATTTATATAGATGTTCCTCGTAGAACAACCCTCTAAAGCTGGGAATCACTATTGCTCTCCTCTGCACTGCTTCTAGGCTCTGGGGCAGCCTCTTATCTTGCTACTGTTAGCATCATGTAAACTGATTTTTTTTTCTGGTCTGACATGTGCAGAAACCCATCACCATGCTTAAGGGTATCCAAACCAATCTACACATCCCACTACACTCGTCTGCCCTTCCAGATTCTTCCAACCAGCTAGGCTGGCTGTGCTGTCATCAGCAGTGTTCTGGAATACTGGAGACCCGGCATCAGGAACCAGACGACTGAGACCACCAGAGAGGGCTGGTTCGATTCTGACATTCCATTACCAGGCATGTTACCTTAGAGCCAGTTCAGTTCCAAGGAGACCTTGGTTACCTCCCCCAATGGAGGATAGTCAATAGTTGGTCATTCGACATTCCACAAACGTGAGTTTGAGCCCTCACTAGGTGGATGGTACAAGGAACTCCTTGCGAGCCACCTGGTGGGCAACACATCTCCACATGAAACATTGCCGCGACTTCCTGTCCACAGCTTGGGTACACATCCCTTCCCATTGAGCAATGGTTCCATCAATTGGAAGTGCGGAGTTTAAGCAGCAGCTGCTTACCTTAACCGAGTATTAATGCAGAAAAACTGTAAAGTATCTTTATTGTCAGACATCATATCATGGGCGAGACTTAACATTCTGTAATTTAACAGCAACAAAGCTTCTTGCTCTTATCAGCGTCTCCTCAGCTCACGTGTTGACTGTTATCAATCTCCCTGGTTGCTCACTCCAACACTTGGAGCCTGTGTACAACCTTGGCATTTTGTTCAACCCTCAACTCTCCTTTAAACTTTTCATCAAGGCTCTGAGTAGGTATCCACCTTCCTTCAACTCTGCAACACCCCCTGACTCCACCCTTCCTCACCCCAAGTGCAGTTGAAACCTTCATCCATGCCTTTGTCACCTCTATGCTCTCCAGCCTTCCCAGTTCCACTCACCACACTTTCCAGATCATACAGATCTCTATAGCCCATGTCCTCTGCCATCCAAACACATACAACCCTTTCACACAAATGGTTGTGGAAATCTGGAATTCTCTCCCCCCCCAAAAGGATGCTCAATCAATTGGGAATTTCAAGCCTGAGATTGATAAATATTTATTATGTAAGGGTATCAAGGGATATGGAGAAAAGGTGGGTAAATAGAGCTGAGGTAAGATCAGCCATGATCTAATAGAATGAATGAACAGGCTCAAGGGGCTGATTGACCTGCTCGTGTTCCTAGGTTCCTGAGCCTATCAACGTAATCCTCACCTGGCTCCACTGGCTCCCTTTCCCCAGTGAATCAACTTCACTGTTGATCCTCACCCAAGATACAATACAATAAAAAATTACATTTGTATAGCAACTTTCACATCGAGAGGATGTCCCAAAGTGCTGGGAGATCCTCGTCTTTACCTTTAAATGCTTCCATGGCCTTGCTCCACCCAATCCTATGACTCTACTCCCCTTTTGCTTTGCTAATTCTGGTCTGCTTCATTTCCCCCTGTTTGCTCCGTGCCATCATCAGCACTTTGCCACCGTCCTCTGGAATACTTCCCAAATCCCTCCACTTTGGTTTCTCCCTCTCGGCTTTCAAAATCCATCTAAGGACCTACCTCTTTGATTGTACTTTCAACCTCCCAGCATCAAACTCCTGTCTCATTTCCAGTTCAGGCTCCTGCTCAAATTTTGTGGAGAATTTTCAGTCATTCTTGTTACATGAAAGGCCCTATATAAGTGTAAATTGTTTTTAATCTGAATAGTCTGAATCCTTACATGTTGCGAGATCTATGAAAATCTGATTTAGTATCACCTCAGTGCAATATTCTTTTGGATCCCCCCACCCACCAGCACTGCAATGGAGTGTCAACTTAGACTATTTGATTCCAAGTCCTGACATGGAGCTTGAACCCGCAATCTTCTGAAACAGAGGTAAGAGTGCTACCTCTCTGCCACGCTGTCACTATGAATTTTGGGGATAGGGAACCAGCCAGTACACTTGGGTGAGGATGGTGTTGATAGGCTTACAGAGTTCTTACGCTAAACAGTCTGAATAACCACAATTTGCAAGATTTACAAAAAGTATGATTTCATTTCACCTCAGCGCAATACTCTTTTGGATTGTTCAGGAATTCCTAAGTCGGAGGAAGCAACAAAACAGAAGAATCAGCAAAGTGTTGCCCTTCTCAGCGTGATTTCCTTGCTGTAGATCAATCAGAGGGAGAAGAGGTTTGTTGTCCAAATGATACATATCGCTTCCTTTGTGACACAGCAAAGGAAGAAACACATAAATATGAAACAAAGCTGACCAAAGCAAATTTTCTCCACTGGATTGCTGTTACTGAGTCTCGGCCATGTGACAGGATGTTCCTTTATTACTGCCGATACATGCTCAGGCATCTGCACTTATCAGCTCAGCTCAGCCTAGGAGGAGCACTTCTAATTGAAGCCTTTCCTTTACCGCAAAATAACCTTTTCCCTTGGAAAGAAAGGGAGCATTTGAAACATTGCCAAGTTTGGAGGAAAATAATGAAATGCTTATGATGTCTGGAATTCTGATTGTTGCTTTCCTTCATTTCATCCAAATGTTCGCTTATGGAGGTAAGTTGTTGTAACTTTTTCATAGTGCCTTGTCGTATCTTATAGAGACGTGGGAAAGATCATAAAAACTGTTTACTCAATGGAACAGAACTGCACTCTCTTGAGGCATCATTTGCATATACAACAACACTCCAAGTAAATGCCTAAGTTGTCATTATTAGTCTTAAAATTCATTGATTTTCCTTTTGTTAATTAAAAGACTACAAATTTTAATATGTTTAATTGTGTTTGCTCAATGTAGGAGTTTAAGTGAACATTAGCAAGTCTTCCCTGGTTTTCAAGGAATATTATCTGTTGAAGGCAGATTATGCGTATTCAATGGAAATTGGCTCTGTTTTGATGCTAACTTCAGAAGGAAACTAAAATTCAGAATACGTATACTGGCTAGAATATAGTAGACAGATGCAATTAAGCACACGTTGCAACACGATAAGCTTAAATTAATTGTCTTTGTTATTATTTAGGGAACAGAATAATATCTCTATTTTTCAAAACTAAATGCTCTCCATGCAGAGCTGCATGCTTAAATGGAAAAGACAAAACACGGTTATGTTAGATGTGGTTTTGTACATGGTTTTGTCTGTAATCCACAAGAAACAAAAGCACACTGATCATTATTAACAAAAGCTTTTAAACTCGTGCTTACACACTTAGTTGCATTTCCAATGAAAAAAGAGAAAACTTGATATAAAGGGGGACTTCCTGTGAAGCGTTTTGAGATGTCCTTCTGATGTGATAAGGCGCTAATCCAAATGCAAGGATTATTATTATTATTATCTTACTAGACTCTTGGTGTACAGAATTCAGAGCTTGCCAGTCTGGGCCTGAAATGTCTGCTGGCCCACACACATGTAGACACCCCCAGCCTACTCTCCTGGCATGTGCTCCTGTGTCACTATGCTGGCTGGACTCCGGTGGCCAGGGATATTGACTTTGACTCAGTTCGAAATCTGTGAGAAGAAGGTAGCTTATTCACTACCCTCTGCTTGGTGGATTCAAACAATTACAATGCTGGGACCAGCATTTACTGGTATTTTTCAACACTGAAGAAAGCTGGTAAATGCTGGCATTGTAATTACAGTTAGCCAGAAATTCCAGCTCGCTAGATCATTTTTCTTTCCCCACCAACCCCCTACTCCCGCCATTGGTCTGAGTAGCCAGGTTTTTAATGTATTTCAGCAAGTCAGATTTTTAAAGACAATTTTATTTTGAAAGAAGGTTTTACTTGGGGAGGGAGCACACATGTGAATCCATCTGGAAGTTATATCCACTTCCATCGTAAAAACATTTCTGGCACTCTTTACTAACTCTTTCAGGCAATCCACTACAAGTACACAGTTACAACTGTATATTTTACAGTAAAATATTTTGGAAAGCACCCTCAGATATTTTGACAACATGATAATGCACTGTATCAAATGCAATATTTTATTTTAAAATACACAGTCCATAAATAAATTATTTTGAATTATTTATTAAATAAATTATTTACTAAATAAATAATATGCGTTTCTTCTCTTTAGGCTGTCAAAACAGTGTAGACTGTAGACCAGGCTTCGGGATCACATCACTCCCACCCTCGCTCGCCTCCACTGGCTCCCCATCCCCCAGAGGATCGAATTCAAGATCCTCATCCTCACCTACAAGGCCATTCACGGTCTTGCTCCCTCCTACCTCTCCGACCTACTATCCCCCTACCTACCTGCGCGTACCCTCCGTTCCTCTGGCTCCGGTCTGCTGCACATCCCCCGCCCCAACCGCCCTACCATCGGTGGACGGGCCTTCAGCCTCTCAGCCCCCAGGCTCTGGAACTCCATCCCCCAGTGCCTTCGCCGCCTCCTCCCTTTCCTCCTTCAAGGGGTCTCAAGACCTTTCTCTTTGACCGTGCCTTCAGCTCCCCTCTCGACTCTCTATCCCTTCCTCGCTCCCTCCCTTCCCTCCCCTCACCCTGAACATTTCCCCCCTGCTCGGGTCCTGACCCAACTGTACAGCGCCTTGGGACGTCCTCCCGACGTGAAAGGCGCTCAATAAATGGAATCTTGTTGTTGTTGTTGTTGTAGACATTTAAAATTTAAGGGGTCACAATTGTGATATTCCTAAAGTTGTCCAGGAATTATTGGTATGGAATTAAGGAATACTTTATCACCTGGAAACTGCTTTTCACCCCATCTGTAGGTGACACTGTTTACAAGAGGGAGGTGAGGCTGAGGTAGAGGAATGGGGCAACCTTAGGAATATCACAATTAAAAATTATTAAATTGGTCAAACAGTCCACGACTGTTTGTGGGACGTTGTTGTGCGCAATTGGCTGCCGCGTTTCGCCCACAAAATGTAAGTCAATTCACTTTACATTATATTCTGTGAAGCGCTTTGAGACGTCTCAAAGACATGATCAGGCGCTATATCAAATGCAAGGATTATTATCATTAATGTATTAGATGCCCTGGTCAGAGCTATGATCTCAGGACCTTGTGACCTCAAAAAAAATCTCAGTTTTCAGAATAGATCTGAATATGAAAGGTATCTGAACTAATAGCTGGAAAAAGAAATATAACTGTGTTTTGTTCTTTATGTTTCAGATCCCAATGTCTTTTTAATACACAATATAAATCATAATCGGTGTGTGATAGCTAAAACTGCAAAATCAGTGGTGACAGGTACTTGTGATCCGAATGCAGAGTCACAGCAGTTTAAGTGGGTCTCCAGTAAGAGACTTATGAGCATGAAATTCAAACTCTGCCTTGGAGTTCCTGAAAAGAAGGACTGGGTGCCAGTCACCCTCTACCCCTGCAGTGATAAAAGTGATCTTCAAAAATGGGTATGCAAGAATGATACACTGTTTTCCATCGAAGATGCTGATCTCTATTTCAACTATGGGAATCGAAACGAGCAAAATATAATGCTCTACAAAGGATCAGGACATTGGAGCAGGTGGAGAGTGCATGGCAATGCAAATGATATCTGTTCAGTAATCTATGAAGGTATGATGAATTCTCTTGTTAAAATAGTTCACTGGTGCAGAATCAGTATAGTATAAGTCATAGAATCATATAATGTTACAGCACAGTAATAAACCATTCACCCCAAGCTCGCTGGATGTCAAATGACCAACTGGTGCCTATCCTCCTTGGGAGGGAGGCAAGAGGGCTCGCCTCGGAGGTAAACTGGCTCCAACACAATATGTTTAGCAACGGGTTTGCAGTATGCTAGGGCACTGCTGATGACAGCACATCCAGGCTGGCTCATCGGTTGAACTTGGAAGGACAACCAGTCACTGGGAGCAGGGACTCTTCCCACTCACTCTGCAAGCCAAAGACCTAACAGGTAGGATGTTCCTAGCTAGATAAGCAGCAGGAAAGCTTGCTAGGCAGTACTCTCAATGACAAACTATGCATTTTTAGACTCACCTCTTTGACCGTGCTTTTGGTCATGATGCCCCTCTCCCACCCTTTCAGCTCTCCTCCCCCTGCACTTCCAGCTCTGGAACCCAATTACTTATGTAAAGCACTTTGTGATATCTTTTGATATGAAAGGAGCTAGATTAATGTAAATTGTATTGTATCGTAGCTGGTGTTTCTACATGAGCCAATCTAATTCTACTCACCTGCCCACACCATGCACTTTAATAATAGTATTACTAATAATAATCCTATGAAGCTGAAATCAAGTGCCTAGGAAGCTGAAACATCCCAAAGTACTTCACAGACAATTGCTTTGAAGTCTAGTGACTGAATTTGTAGGCAAACACGGCAGCAAATTTATGTACAGCAATTTCTCACACACAGTATGAAGTGATCAATTTTATTTGGGGAATAATTGGTTCTTCCCTCTCTGGCCCTTTTAACCCTGTGAGCGAAAGCCCTAATGGGTAGAGTGGTCCTACCTGAATGAAAAGCAAGAAGCTTGCCCGGTAGTGTTCTTAATGGTAAATTATGTGGTTTTCGCTCATCAAACTCCAGCAGTGCCTCTAAAGCAACTCTGGGATCCCCAAGCCTTGGATCCCATCAAATTGCGCATAATACTCCCCAGAATTTGATAAGCAGGTTGCGTCCCTCCAAGGAGAGAGTGCATATCCTATTCTAGACACAGAGAAATTGCCATGTCTAGGTGGCTTACAAATGTGGAACACTCAGTCTCGTTGGATATTCTTATAGTGATGATGTGTTTCGCATGTAGCTGACATCTGGCTGACCAAAAAAAAATTCCCAGCCAATCAAAAGCTATCACATTGCTAAGTAATACTAAATAAACACAAGTTTCTTTCACAAGGCAGAACTCCTGGGTCAGATCATGGGTTAGTGATTGAGGTCTTTTTCTGTGAGAGGAATCAAGGAGGAAAGAACTGAGGGAGTATTACCTGAAGGAAATGAGCGTGGTCTGGAGTCTGCAACAAAAGAGTGGATAGATTAAAGTGAAGGAGGTCACTGTTTTGGGGAAGCATCAAAGTGGGAAAGAACAAGAATTGGGGAACATTGAAGTGTCTTGAAAAGGACTCAATGAATAAAATAGCAGCAGCATGACAAATACAGTTGGACCCCACTATAACATGCGTGGTATAATATGAGTCTGCTTATAATGTTGTCTCACTGTATACTGAATATCCATCTGGCCTGCCTGACTTCTTTTGGATTGTGTGCACTTGCTGTGTGCAGGAAGTTACTTCTTCAGTAACTGGACAGACCGACAAATGATAATATTACATATTTTGTCAAATCAGTCAATAATTACAGTATTAGGGACCTCAAGGGAGACAGGGAGTTCACCACCAAGACAAGAGATTACTATTGGCAGCTTTTTGAAATGTGAAACACTTTCTCCCTAGATAGCAATGAGCATTCCCTAGATAGTAATCAGCAATCCGAGATACTAACTTGCATGAAGAGCGCTGATGTTTGTTCTTGAGCATAACTTGCATGGAAGAGTAACTTTTCTGGAAATATACACCCTTCCAGACTCTATCAAACACTTTGGATATGTTCAAGGTTTGGACAGATTCATTGTTAGAGTACAGAAGAGAAGAGCTCCAGCAGTGCGCAACATGTTCAAAGAGAATGTGAATGACCATGTTGAAAACCATACTGGGTTAGGCCAGGACTTCTAAGTTGATGGATAATTTACCAATTGCTAACAGCTTCCATACCATTAGAAATTACAGACCTAAGAGCAAGTGGGCAGTAATTTTAGAGTTAAAAGGTATCATTTTTCTTGGGATAAGCTGAAAACAACCAAATTTCTCAGAAAAAGAGAAGGCGAGTAGGAGAGGTTGAAGAAAATAGATTTGAGGTGGGGCGGATATCTCTTGGTACACTTCTTATTTAAGGCTTTATTTGAGTCCTGAGAGTGAGGATACAACAAACAAATGTTAGTATCACAAGTGGTGGAAATAACTCTGTGTCAGTCATTGGTAGAATAAAATGGAGCAATCTTGTTCCATAATTCACGAGCTCATGTTGTAATTAATCAATGTTGTATTCAATCGGCTCTATAAGAAGAAGTAAACTACAGGGATGTAAGGGTGGGTGAGTAGGACTGAAATAATTGTTCAGACATACAGACAAGAGCCAGCATAGACATGATGGGATGAATGGCCTTCTGTGCTGTAAATTTCCATAGTTCAGTGGCTCTAAGAAAGCTTGTTTCCCTTTCAGACAAATTTACCATACATGGCAATTCGAATGCGCAGCCATGTGTGTTCCCTTTTAAGTTCCACAATAAAACGTATGCTGACTGCACGATGGATGGAAGAAAGGATGGTTTGCTTTGGTGTGCCACAAGCTCAGATTACAAAGATGGCAAATGGGGATTCTGTCCTGAAAATAGTAAGTGTGACAAAATTATTCCCTGGTCTTTTACAGCTGAACTGAATCATTGCAGACTTTATGTATCTTCTGGATTTCCTCAACAGCCATTCTACCCTGTAATTGTGGGCTGACAATTACATATAACATTGTCTTTGACCACAAAAAATGTGCTTGAATGTCATTGTCAGTGATTTTCTTGTAGTAAAATTGATATTGAAAGGAATGTTCATATTTTGTTTATAAGATGCTTAAACTATAGTCCAGAATTTTTGGGGACTGAAGTCTATTCATACTGTTGTAATACTTTTGTACTCCATTCTTGTACAATGCAAGTGTGCACTCTTTAGTGTTGATACTTTGGAAATTTACCTTCTTAGCCTATGGTGAAATGAACTAGCCATCAACAAATTCTAGCATTTACAGTCTCGTCCCCAAGTAACTACAAACTTACAAAGTGTTTCTTATCGGTAATTTGCTCTGTTAGAGCTTTGAACTGTTGACATACTGTCATTGAGCAACAAGGACCATTTATAGATCTTGAAACAAGCCAAAGAGACATTTTTGGAGTCATAAGGAATCATCAAATTGTTTATTATTTTAAGGTAATTTTCCAAGGAATTTCCCTGTGGATTATACATTCATGTGGTGATTTTTAGGTACATTGAAACTTCACAACTCTACCCAACAATATTAACAGCAACAAAAATGCATTTCTTGGAGCATATGTTATACAAGAGTTTTTAATGTATTCTCTGGATATATTACATAATTGGATTTAAAAAGACGGTAACGTTATAACAAACCACAACATATTTTAGTCTTTGAGAATCTTTAGTACTGTGTACTGTGTGATTTTCGTTACGCTAATCTAATCACACAAACAGTGCCATTGCTGTTTCCTGTTTTCTTGTGTTGCTGATGACTGACTCATTAACTGTTGCTTACTGTAAAAACAGGGCAACTTATCTGAACCTGTCCATATGAATTGTGTTTCTAACTTTAGTTCCGTTTTTATCAGCCTCAGAACTCCTTATAGGCTGCAACACAATGATTACAATTTTGAACTTACACATTACCAATCATTCAGCATATTGCACTCTCTTATTGCCTCAGCACTTTGTTGCATTGGTTGTCTTATTTTCATATGCATGCTGCCAATGTGATATTCATCACATTCAAAATACTTCAAAATACTCTCAAAACTCCAGGTGGACATTAAAGATACTATTCAAAAAGAGAAGTTAGGTTGTCTTGGTCCTTACCAACAATCTCGCAGATAAAATTGATCTTTCACTTCATGACCGTTAGTGGGACACTGCTATCTGCTATCTGCAGTGTCCCACTATCTGTAAATTGGCTGTCGTGTTTCCCTATAAATTTACAGTCACTACACTGCACGGTAAAACAACAAAATTACATTTGTATAGCGCCTTTCAAGTCAGGAAGACGTCCCAAGGCGCTGATCCTGTGAAATCCTTCAAAATCCTGTGAAACACTTTGATATTTCAATAACATAATAAGGGCTATATCAAACACAGGAATGATTATTATTATTATTGCTGCCACATTGGCTGACATTAAGAAACTCCATGCAGACCAGAGAAGAAACTGGGAATTTTCTGGCCTGTGTGGTCCAGTTTCATACTGGGCTTTGGGTTTATCAGCTGTGTTACTGGGGGGGCCTCAACATACCGTTTATATGCTGTGTGGCAGCAGTATAAGGAACAGTGCTGTTAGCCAGGGAACATTGTGGCTTCCAAACTGAAGGCTGCCTGTCCTTGATTTTGCTGTCTGTTAAACAAAAGCTCCTTGAGAATTATTAATTTGAGCTGGAAATGAATGCATAAGGTCAGAAAAACTCCTTAATAACACTGGTAGTTTCTCTTTCATGAGTGCTATTTTCATACTGAACTTACAAAGGTTCATCCTTGTTAATGGGGGGAAGAGGATCCGTTGCAAGATATAAAACAACATAGGTTTATTGACTTTATTTTTATAGTTTTACCTATTTTTACCTATTTTGTTAAGCATCTTGGGATGTCCTTCCGAAGTGAAAGGTGCTATATAAATGTCAATTTGTATTGTATTATATTTTTGCTTACAAAATGCCCAATCATTGCACTTTACAGTAAATCCTGTGAAGCGCTTTGAGATGGTCTTCCGAAATGAAAGACATTACATCAAACGCAAGGATTAATATTATTCTTATTATTGTTTAATCAGGTAAGGAATTTAATTTGAGGAAATTTAAATGTTTTCTGTGACGTGCTTACAAAATGCCCAATCATTGCACTTTACAGTAAATCCTGTGAAGCGCTTTGAGATGGTCTTCCAAAATGAAAGACATTACATCAAAAGCAAGGATCAATATTATTCTTATTATTGTTTAATCAGGTAAGGAATTTCATCTGTAGAAATTTAAATGTTTTCTGTGACGTGCTCCGAGGTGTTATACTTCGCGAAGGACTCTATGTAAATACAAGTTGTTGTTAAAACGGTTTGAGATGTTTTGACATTCTTCTTGTATCAAATCACAGTAAACAGGATACAAGACAAGGTGCTTCCCTCTAGCCTCTACAGAGAAACAGGGGTAGGCCATTCAGCCCCTTGAGCTTGTTCCGCCTTCTATAAGATCATGACTGATCTGTACTTCAAGTCCAATTACCCGCCCTTGACCTATATCTCTTAATACCCTGACCTAACAAATAGCTATCCACCTCAGTCTTAAAGATGTGAATGGATCCAGCATCCACAGCATTTCGGGGGAGAGAGTTGCAGACGCTCTCCCGAGGATAAGTATTTCTGCCTCTATTTTATTGACACTCTATTGCCATTGTTCCTTTGAACTTTTCTCTTTTGTTCATCCAAAGATGATAATTTGCCACCTAGCACAACCTTGCTCTGGTCTGTATTCTCACGAAAGCACACCCCAACAATTCCTTCTCCAGTGTCATAAATTGACATAATGCCTGTAGAAGAGTGGCATGAAGCAGCACCTGGAATTGATACATTACCTATATGCCGATTTATACTGGAATCTGAGCTCAGCATTATACTTGCCCAGTGCAAAATGTATATACAACAACTTTACATTTATAGAACACCTTTCATATCAGAAGGATCTTTCAAAGCACTTTACAGAATTGGCTGAGAGCTTGAGCTAAGCATGGAAGGGTTGGGGTTAGGGAGAAGAGAGATGACTAAAACCGCAGTCAAAAAACAAAGGTCCAAAGGACACTAAAGATGGGTAGAAAGAAGGTTGAAGGACTCTGGGATAAATTTCCAGAGTGTGGCAGAATGGCTGAAAGCTCCACCATGCATGGTAGGATAGAATGGGTGGGGAACATAAAGCAGGCCACTGTTCACTGACTGGAGGGTGTGGCCAAGTTGGTAGCGATGCAGGAGGTGACAGAGATCTTGTGGGACAAGGTCATGGAGGGATTTGAACAACAGAACAAGAGTCATGAATTTGATCTGTTGGGGGATAGGGAACCAGTGCAGCTGGGCAAGGATGGGGATGGTAGGCTCACAGACCCTGGTTCAGGAGAGCGCTTTGAGATATCTCAACGATGTGATAAGGCGTTTTTATCAATTGCAAGTATTATTATTCATAGGTGAATATGGCAGCCAATTTGTGTACAGAATTGGCCCACAAACAGCCAAGAAATGAATGAGCAATTTTATTTGATGGATTATTGGCCATGAAACATAAGAGAAACTCCCTTCTCTTTTTGAATAGTGCCATGAATCATTACCATCTGAACAGGCAGATGGACCATGGTTTAACGTCTTGTCTAAAAGGCAGCCTCTCCATCAATGCAACACTCCCCAGCATTGCATTGGAGTGTCAGTTTAGACTATATGAATTCCAAGTCCCAATGTGGAGTTTGAACCCAACAGCCTTCTAGCTCAGAAGTGCGGTGCTCCCAACTGAGTCAGCCTGACATACATCTTATCAAATCCTTTCATAGTTTTAAACACTTTTATTGGGTCCCTTTCAGTTCTAGAGGGATTTGAACCAAAAGTCAAGGCTAGGAGACCCTGACGTGCGATTAAGTACTGCTGGAGTCAGGACTCATTGTCTTGTTAGATATGCCACAAGGGTGAAGCTGACAACGTCATGTCTAGGGAATATCTCATGAATGCCTCAATGAAAATATCATTGGGACATGGCTGCTAGTAACCTATACTTTCAACTGTTATTCTAAATAGAAAGAAATTCTGGGACTGAACTCTGTAAGTCATTCTTCAATTGAACTTCTGCTATTGACCATACCACGTGGAATGGCCAGAGATGTAACTGTAGTATTAAACTTTTTACTGACACAAGTGAACCAGTCTAGAGTAGTTTGAACCATTTTCTTATATCTAAATGTATTTACAGTGCATTTACTCTTGCAAAATCAGCTGTTTGTAATGACTTGTTGGAGGAAGTCAAGTGCTGATGGCAAATTTCCCCATCAATTCAGGCAGTTTTCCTTCAGTAGTCATTGATAACATGAAAACCAATTACAGTAATGTGATGTTTACGCAACCCAACATGCTATCTTAATAAGCCTTAATCAGTTAATGGCTTTCATAGCGCAGTCAGCAGATGGTAAGTGATGGATAGAGCATGTCCTAAGCATGCTATTCACTTTTGTACCATGTGCACTGGCAAAGGAGAGCCATTAAAGATTTTCAATTTTCCTGAAGCAGATCTGGAAGTTTTCCAACTTCAGATTGAGATCTAACACATGCAGCAATTTTATCCATTGTTAGAATCTGCATTTGGCAATGATTCCTTGAACTTTCTATTTGAAGTACAATATAATTTTCTCTTCTTGTAAAAAACAGTAAGTATATGTCTGTTTACAAAACTTTGACCTTGCACATTAAGTTAAACTAAAGAGTTAACAATTTGAATCATTTGCTATATTACAAAATTGAGTGCTGCTGTCTGTCAGCTATTGCCACACTTCCCACCTTCATTGCAAAATGTGGAGTTGTTGGCTCTCACTGAAATGTACTGCGATCATCGTATGACCATGCCCACAATGATTCGAGGAGCTTTGCTCTAACTTTGGGTTATTTTAATGAAATTGCAGTTCACAATTCCACACTCCACAGCTATAGTCATAGTTATTGAATTGCGAAGTGACCAAATAACTCATTAGCTGCAATTCCCATTGTTGTGGCTACATCATTGTTGGTATCTAGCTTTAATGTTCACCCACAAAACACACAGACACTGCACTTTACAGTATATCTTACAAAGTGCTTTTGGGACATCTTCCTGATATGAAAGGCATTATACCAAATTAAAGATTAATAATATTGTTATTAACATTGATAAAATCACATGCAATAACCAAGCATGTCAAACAACAGTTCTGTGATTTTAAAAAAATACTCGAACCGTCACTTGATTCAACAAGGCACTTGTGTCTTTGCCTGCAGTGGCTGGCTAACATCTGTTTATTGTTAAGGTTCAGGTAGTGGAATGCCTGGTAATAGAGTGGTTCAATTATCTACTTAATCCTTCAGTGTACCACAAATTGTCCTTCTCTTGAGATGTCCCCAGAATCCTGAATTGCATAACAGTTGTTACCCTAGAGATTATTTAACATGAATGGTGGACTAGGGTCAAAATGATGTACCAAACATTGCTGATGAGAATTAAGATTACTGCCACAATTTGGGAAGTACGGGAACAGCAGGAGATGGAAAGAAACAAATGTGAAGAACACAGACAAGATTCTTTGGTTAAAGTTGACTTTCCCCATTGAACTTCATTGTAAAGCTAAGTGATAACGTGTATTCCACAAAATCCAGCTAAATGATTGTCCTTGCATTTGAATTGGCACCTTTCACACTGGGAAGAAATCTTAAAGCGTTTCTCAGGATTTACTGTAGAATGTAGTGACTGTGTCTTTGTGTGCAAACGTGGCGGCCAATTTGTTCACAGCAAGGTCCCAAAAACAGTTATGAAGTGAATAACCATTTTTATCCAGGGGATTCTTGGCCAGGACACCAGGAGAAACTCCCTTCATTGTTGTAACTAGACAGCTCCTTACCTGGTTGGTTACCTTTTAGGAGAGCAATCATCTTCTCTTCTGCCAATAGTAATGCCTAAAGATTGGTCATCCACCAGTTCTATGCACTCCCTCATATTGTGTAACTCTTCCTTTGAGAAGAAACCATGCAGCAATAAGTCTCTTTATCTTGTTGGGCTCCATTTCTGGAAAAATATCCAAACATGTCCGTGTATTTGAAACCAGTACAGTATACAGCGTCTTCAGCACCTGGAATGCAAGCAGAACAATTGGGTGCCATTGGCAAAAATAACAATAACAGCAACTTGCATTTATTTATATAGCGCCCTTCACATGGGATAGAATCTATGGCAACTTTGACCTGAACCAATGATGCCTGTAGCACTAAACATCATGTCAAGATATTTTAATGGATTTTTAATGGAAGTGCTCTGAGACGCCACCCGGTGTGGAGGGTGCTATATAAATCCAAGTTGTTGTTGGATTATGCTCCTGAAAGCATGAGATCAAATGGGTCGAAAGATCTTGTTCACTTAAATCTCTCTTTTGATCTTTTATGATCTGGTAGTTGCTGGGCTTTGAAACGCTGAAGTTCTCTGTTCTTGAACCTTCTCTTTTCTCTCTGAGTGTTCAGGTGAAGGTAAAAGATCTTTGGTTTGAAGAAGAGCAGTCAGCTCTCCTGCTGATGACCTGACCAATATTCCTCCCTATTCAAATTCACAAAACGCCAGCTTAATTGGTTATTCAGCTCACAATCTAGCTGATGCTCCAGTGGGGGCATTGCTAATATGTCATCCAGTAAAATTGGTCGTTCACTTAGTGGCTGTTTGTGGCACCTTGCTGTGCCCAAATTGGCTGCTGCAATTTTTTTCACAAATACAGTCACTGTGCTTGACAGACCTGTGAAGCATTGTAAGACATTTCAATGTTACAGGAGTTGCAATAAATGCCAAAACTATTTTAAATGATTTTCAAGGCTCCACCATACACAATACTTATGTTGCTTAAACTGGACTGTCCCAGATTTTAAAAATTATAGGATGTTACCGGGGAAGAATGGAGACAGCTCTCGATAAAAATAGGACAGATTAGGATGTTTTTTTCCATGGAAATGAGACGATTGAGAGGGGATCCAAAAAGGGTATTTAAAAGTATGGAAGGATTCGATAAGGTGGACATTGATAGATTGTGTCTCACTGGTTGATGTGTTCAAAACAAGTGGGCATAAATGTGATAACCAGTAGCAGATCTAAAAGAGAGGTTAGAAGAAACTTAATTAAAGAGAGAATGGTGAGAATGTGGAACTCATTATGGTTCAGCTGTGGTTGAACCTGAAAACAATAATGCATTTAAGAGAAAACTTCATACTAACATAAGAGAGAAGAGAAAAAACTCTCATAACTCTGATCTGTATAAATCGTATAATCACCTATGTCATACATCTGCCCAAGTCCCATTGACGAGTTTCTATTCTATGCAATTTTGAATTAAATCATACTTTGCATAAGTCATATTAAATATTATGGTCCCAAGAGATATGACTTGTGTGAGGTTTACTGTAGTGGGGTATGGGAGGGGAATAGGGAGAGGGATAAGGAGTGTGGAGGCTCATGTGGAGTATAAACACTGACACAATGCTGGTCATTGAGCTGAATAACTTGTTTTAATGCTTTTCAGTCTTTATAATCTTATGCAAACTCAAAACACATTCACAAAAACACAACAGTAATTTCTGACAAGCCTGAACATGGTAAAACGCTATAAACATACAAATTATTTATTTTACAAGTAAGAAGTGATGCAATCAAACTTCTTTGCTGCCCAGTAACTCAGAATCACATTTGACATACTGTTCCTATTGTATTCCGAAAGTACATTACCATTAACACTGTCAGCACAAATGGCTCTTTTTGTTGACCAGCATTTGCTGCTAATTTTAAATTGCAATCACTTTATTTTCCTGTTTACAAAACTTGTCACTCATGAGTGTGACTTTTTAAGTTTTAGTTCCTTTCTTTCTTAATCTATGGCACAGATTTCCTTTTTTTAAGGGTCAAATGATTTTTCATTGCTATGTACACAGCAACAGGAAGCGACTCTGTTTCTACTACACAGATTATATCCTCCATTTATGAAATGCAACATAATATATCAGCTAAAATGAAGGCACAAGTGGGAAGAAATTCCACCTGGTTCCACATTTACTCTATTGTTGTAGCATTTTCAGATTATCCAATTATTGGGTAAATTCTTTATTTTGAAACTATTTTTCTGTTAGTTTCTTTTTAAGAAATACAGAAAAACGATTTCAAAGTTAAGATTGATTTCAGCGTTTTGCCAAATTTTGGAGACTCTGACATGCTACATAAAAGGTCTAGACCCAGGTGGAATGTCCTAGAGGATACCTTAATTTGTGTACTGAACATTGCTTCTGTAAATTAAGACCTGACATAATTTGTGAATTTAATAAAGTAAACATTACTTTTGTGCTCTTAGTTCCTACAAAGGTTTTGCAGCTGTTTATTTTATTTTGCAAACCCCTTGAATAGTCATGATGGGTCAACCTATTTGTTACCAATGAACGTATTCGTTTGTATAAAGCAACAGGAAGTGACTCTGTGTGAGCCAACATTATACCTTGTATGCAAGTCTATATTGCACCCATACTTTTAAGACTACATTGAACCACTGCATGCAAAGATAACATGTTTTTTCTACAGAGGATTCAATTGTGTATAACAAGATCTTTCACACCCACCTATCCCCTCCAATTTAAGGACAATATCTGAAAGCACCATTCTTCTTATTATTCAATGTCCACTTTCTAAAGGCACATTATTAATTTAATAGTAAATGTTAATTGACTTTAGAAGAAGGCAATAATTGAAACTATTTATTTTTACAGCTGTAAATTGCAATAATTTGTGGAATAAAGACCCCTTAACAGGCATCTGTTACCTGATTAACTTCAATTCAGCTTTGACGTGGCATGAAGCAAGAAAGAGCTGTCAACAGCAAAGCTCAGATTTACTGAGTGTGGTGGAGCTCCATGATCAGACATACCTAACAGGTAGAAAAGCAAATACTGTATACTGTGCATGATAACAAAATATGTGAATACAAAACAATAACTCTCAAATCCCCAAAAGGTCCATTATCGCTCTACGCAACAAGTTAAAGTAATTAACTTTATTGATTAACTGGTGAATTGGTGTTTAAATAGAACACTATCCTTCCAACTCTAGGCCCAGACCTAAGACCAATAGGATGTATTTCACTTTCTGCTGGTTCTAAATGTTCCTAAGTGAAATGAGGTTAGGAAATTTCAGTGCAGTGTTAATTCCCCAAAATACAGCATTAATTGGAAAGAAGAAAATTGGTACTTATTCAGAGAGGCCAAAGTATAGTTGGTGACGGAAAGAGATAATCTACATTGGTGCTGTAGTAAATAGTTTTCAGAGATTAGGGTTAAGGCTTGTTAGGGTGATAAAAATGGTTTGTGATAACTGACCCCATCAAATGCCAGATTTTTCACCCCCTGAAATAAAAATTCAGTAACTTTAAGTAAGTGGAGTAAACATTCCACCTGGATCTAGATTTATTCCATTAACATAACATTTCAGTGTGCAGAATTTGACATTCTTGAATTCAGTTTTAACTATCTGTAGGTTTTAAAGCAACAGTTCACATATCTTGTCTTTCAAGTCAGGACGATATATTCAAGGGCTTTACACAAATGACTGAGAATCTTGGGAAGCTGGATGTGGGAGGAGCTTTATGGCAGAGGGACACCAGGATGGAGTTCCTTAGAGCAGAGGCAGAAAGCTGATGGTGACACGAATCAGGCTGTTGTTTGATGAGTGGAGGAAGCGTCCGGAACAGTAAGGGTTGCAGAAGTAGGATGTGGCGAGGCTGTGGATTGATTTGAAAATGAAGACAAGGAACTTGGATTCAATCTACTGGGAGATGGGGAGTCGGTGGAGCTGAGCAAGGATGAGGTTTGAGGAACTCGTTGAGCTTAGTGTGGGAAAGAAATTGTTAGGCGGTCTGAAGCTTGTGCAGGGAGGAGCTGGGAAGTCTGGTGAACAGGATATTGGAATCGTCAAGCCTGGATATGATGAAGGCATGGATGAGGGCCTTCACAGCTGAGGGTGGAGAAGAAGGAGTGGCAGAGGTAGACAATACTAAGGAGGTGAGGAAAGCCAAGTGAGTGAGAGCCTGACTGTAGAGTTCAAAGGACAGTTAGTGGGTCAAACAAGACACCAAGTTTTCGTATTATCTCCATAAGAAGGGGTAAACAACTGTGCAGGTCAATGAGGTCAGGGCCTGAGGTGTGAAGGTACTGATGCGGAATCAAACGACCAGGCTCAAATATGCAAACTCACTGCTTGTCGGCCTCCACAACTCCTCCCTCCACAGGTTGCAGATCATCCAGAACTCTGCAGCCGTGTCCTCTCCCACACCAGGCTCCGTGACCCTATCACGCTCATCCTCGCCCGACTCCACTGGCTTCCCATCACTCAGAGGCTAAAGCTCACGGCCTTACTCCTCCCTACCGCTGTGACCTCCTAAACCCCTACCAACCCGTCTGCTCCCTCCATTCTGTCCCCCATAATGCCCACGCCACCATTGGCAGAGAGGCCTTCAGCCTCTTTGCCCCCAACCACTGGAATTCCATCCCACAGGCCCTCCGCTTTAAGACTTGTCTCAAAACCCTCCTCTTCAATTGTGCCTTTGATCACCCTCCTACAATCTACCTTTCCTGCCCTCCAACCCTCCTGATCCCAACCACCAGCTTGGGTGCGGATCCCTGACTGTCCTAAACTCCGTACCCCGATTATCCCAGTCTTTGCCATACTCCACTGGTTCCCTATCAGGGCGGATGGACTTCAAGATCCTCACTCTAGTGTTTAAATCTCTCCATGCCTTGGCACCCCGCTATCTCTCCAACCTCCTCTTTCCTCGCAGCACTACCTGCTGCCTCCATTCTACTGGCTCCGGCCTCCTACTTGTCCCTCAAATCCTCTGCTCCACCATCAGCGGCCATACCTTCAGCCACTACACCCCAAAGCTATGGAACTCCCTCTATCAATCCCTTTGCTTTGCCCCCTCTTTCCCTATTTTCAGGTTGCACCTGAAGACCTTCGTCTTTGACCGTGCCTATGGTCACTTTCCCCTTCCCTCTGGCTCGACATCGGGCTCCACTATTGCTGGGTGCCCTGGGATACCGTTGGCGTGGAGGGTGCTATGTAAATGCAAGTTGTTGTTGTTGTCCAGTGCCTTTGGACATCCTCCTGATGTGAAAGGCGTTATACAAATGCAATTTGTTGTTGTTGTTGACATTCAGTTTCATAAAGTTAGAACTTACAGAAAACTGGCTTAAAAATTAAAGATTCTAGTTAAGAATTTGACAAATTCTTGATGCTCTGAAATACTACTTTAACAGAAAAAATCTAAATATAGATGGAATTTCTACCCACCTATTATTGAGGCAGAAAAGGTGAAGATTTGCTTTATATCAGACACAACAATAACCTATGTGTCATTGACACTGAAACTGAACACTGAAAAAAAGACACTTGTTCATTTTCCATGGACTGAAAAGTTTTAAACAAGAGAAGTTTCCCAATGGCCCTGTGGGTTAAACATCTCCTGGTGCTGCCAAAAGCTATACAAACCACAAAACTACAGATTTGCATTCTGCTTGTGAATCAGCTATCTCTGCTGGGAAAACACTAGAATCATAGAATCATACAGCACATTATATCTGTGCTGGCTCTTTGAAAAGAGCTTCCAAATCAATCTCACTCCCCTACTCATTCCCCATAGCCCTGCAAACTTATCCTCCCCAAATAATTATCTACTTCCCTCTTAAAAGTTGTTATCGAATTGGCTTCCACCACCCTTTGAGGCAATGCATTCCAGATCTGAACAACTCGCTGTGCAAAAAAAATTCTCCTCACCTCCCCATTGGTTTTTTTAAATCAATGTCCGTGGGTTACTGACCCACCTGCCAATGGAAATAGTTTCTCCTTGTTCACCCTATCAAATCCCCTCAGAAGTTTGAAAATTCTATTAAGTCTCTTCTTAACCTTCTCTGCTCCAAGGAGAATAATCCTAGCTTCTCTAGCCTCTCCTGATAACTGAAGTCCCTCATTCCTGGTAACATCCTGGTAAATCTCCTTTGGACCCTCTCCAATGCCTTGACATCCTTCCTAAAATGTGGTGCCCAGAATTGAACACAGTACGCTAGATGAGGACTAACCAATGTTTTATAAAGTTTAATCATAACTTCTAGGAATGTATGTAACAATGAACCATGATTCATTCTGTGTATTTTCATTCCTTCTGTATCTTGACGTGCCTCTTCTCACCCGCATTAGCAAAAGTGGTATCCAAAAGCGGAAGCATCATTTCCTTTTTAAGATTAGTGGTTCAATTGTCAAGTGTGGGGTTCAGAACTGAACACAGTACTCTAGCTGAGGCCTAACCTGTGTTTTTTAAAAGTTCATCATAACTTCCTGACTTTTGTACTTTATGCCCCTATTTATAAAGCCTTGTATCCCATATGCTTTTTAACAGCTTTATCTAACTGTCCTGCCACCTTACTTACTTGTATGAAACCCCAGGTCTCTCTGTTCTTTCACCCCCTTTAAGATTCTACCATCTAGCTTATATTGCATCTCCTCATTTTTCCTCTCAAAATGCATCCTTCGCATTTTTGCACATTAAACTTCATCTGCCACCTGTCTGCCCATTTTACCAGTTTGTTTATGTCCTTTTGTGGTCTGCTACTATGCTCCCCACTGTTTACTACTTTTCCTAATTTAGTATCATCTGCCATCTTGGAAAATGTAATCCCTATACCCAAGCCAAGGTCATTTATATAGATCAAAAACAGCAGTGGTCCCAATACTGACTTCTGGGGGACACCACTGCACACTTCCCTCCAGTCAGAAAAACAACCCTTCATCACCACTCTCTGCTTTCCGTCTCCCAGCCAGTTCTGTATCGATGCTGCCACTGTCCCTTTAATACTGTGGGCTACTATTTTGCTTAAAAATCTCTTATGTTGCTCTTTATCAAATGCCTTTTGAAAATCCATAAAACTACATCAACTGCACTACCTTCACCCACCTTCTCTGTTATTTCATCAAAAAACTTATCAGGTTTGTTAGACACAATTTGCCTTTAACAAATCTGTGTTGGCTGTCCTTTATTAACCCATATTTTTCCAAGTGAAAATTTATTTTGTCCCGGATTATAGTCTCCAGTAGTTTCCCCACTGTTGACATTAGGCTGACTGGCCTGTAGTTCCTGGGTTTATCCTTCTGCCCCTTTTTGTACAGGGGAGTAACATTTGCAACCCTCCAGTCCTCTGGCATCACCCCAGTGTCTAAGAAGAATTGAAAGATTGTGGCCAGAGCCTCTGTTATTTCCACCCTTACTTCCCTTAGTAACCTAAGATGCATCCCATCTGGACTGGGTGACTCTCCACTTTGATCACCGACAACCTTTTTAGTACCTCCTCTTGGTTTATTCTTATCTTATCCAATTTCTCTACCCTCTCCTCCGATACTGTGGCATTGGCTGCATCCTCTTCTTTTGTGAAGACAGATGCAAAGTATTCGTTCAGTACATCAGCCATGTACTGCCTCCACAAGAAGATTTCCTCTTTGGTCCCTAATTGGATCCACCCTACCTTTGACTAATCTTTTATTCTTTATGTGCTTATAGCTTTATATACTTGTGTAGAGTATAAACACTGTTACATACTGGTTGGGCAGATAGGCACACACTTTATGATATTTGTCATGTTTTCTCGCACTGCCAGTATAGCACAGAATCATTATGGCACTCATTGTGCTGGCACTGTACACATAGAATTAACCCAACCTTAAATCAAGGCATCATTCTAGTTAGTTTGAAGGCTGACAGTCTTATTTGTAAGAAATAGCTGGGAAAAATATGTCACATGTGTGAGTTTGCTTCCACTCAGGATTTATGAGCGGTAAGTCTCTATCGATGTGGATTGGACTGAATAAGCTGAATACTGATGGTCGCTGGCAGTGGAGTAATAACAATCCTTTCAGATACTTGAACTGGGCTCCTGGTAAGTACCTCACCTTTTCCTCGGTTCACTATCAAAGGAAATAAAAACAAACAAATAATAACCACCTTTGGGATTAAATTCATTTAATTTTTTGGAAACAAGTATGGGTCAAACCAAGAATAAATAAATAAAAAAATAAGGTGGACATTACAGATCCCATGGCACAATCCAAAAAGAGAAATGAGTTTCTCTCAGGGTCCTGGACAACAATCCTGCAGATAAAATTCATTAACGTCATGGCTGTTTGTGGCACATGTGGGTCATGCAAATTGGTGGTCATGTATCCCTATTAATAACAACGCTACACTTTAAAGTAAAAACGTGTGAAGCGTTTTGAGACATCACAACAATGTTGTTGTACGATACTACATCAAATGTATGTATTAGTAAAAGTCGAAATCATAAATTTATTGTTGGAATTAAAGATTTAAAATTCTGAGAACTAATAACACATTACTTTTACAAGTATCATCTTTATACTGTTTTTATATTGCAAGTTCAGTACATGAATCTGTGAAGCACTTGCACTGCCCATTACAATAGCAAACTTGTCAATGTCAAAGTGCTTTAAAGTGCTTACTGACAGATCAAAAAATGTGTTTATACCACAGTGGGTGTAAATCACATTGCTCCTAAAACATGCCACTCCCAGTCTGTAGTAGTGTGATTTGTGATGGTCCAACTCCTGTATTATCAGAAAGATGAATTGCTGCCACATTGTTGAGATAGTGATTTGTGGTGAAACTATTAGTATTAAAGTTTAAAGTAACATTTCGGGATTGGAGCTAAAGAAGCACAGAGGACGAGTCTGTAAGTTTGAAGCACTTTTAGGGATTCCTTCTAAGTGAAAGGTATTAATCAATAAGAGTAATCCTTTCAGTTGATATAGCACCTTATCACTGCGTTAAGATGTCTCAAAGCACTATATTATAGGATATATTGTAAAGTGGTTTGTCTGTGTATTTTATTGGTGAAACACAGCAGCCAGTTTGTGCATAGCAACAACTGATAAATAACCATGGAGTGAGTGATCAATTTTATTTGCGGGATTGTTGGGCAGAACCCAGGGAGAAACTCCCTTTTCTTTTCGGATAGTACCATGGGATCTTTAACATCTACCTAGACAGATAGATGGGACCTCGGCTTTACATCTAATCCAAAGGATGGCACTTCCGACGATACAACACCCCACCCAGCACTGCATTGAAGTGAAATGTGAACAAGACAATATGATTACAAGTCCCATCAATGGGGCTTGAACCCACAACCTCCTGACTCACAGGCGAGAGTGCTCCCATTGAGCCAGACTGACACAAAAGTTACTCTTTTGCCCCCACAGTGTGTCTGGAAAGAAGACACAGTGTGTATTTCTATGCATCCTTGATAACATTCTTCAGTCGTTAACATTGAGCTTTATTTGACTTCATTGTGTTCTAAGCAATATGTAAAGTTGCAGTGCATTAAATGTATCACACAGCAAAATATTTCCTGGCAATATCAAATTGCAATGCTGTGAATAACCTTTAGGACCTAGTTTTATCCCCAAAACATTACTGACTTTGTTTTCACTTCTACATCAAAGGGCAACCGAATTTTGAGGCCGCTTCCAAGTGTGTAGCCATGGATTCAGCGAGAGGATCAAAGTGGGAAAGCAAATTGTGTTCCAAGAAACTGGCATATATTTGTCAAAAGAATAATGCAAAAACTAGTTCTCCTGCTATCCCGGGTTAGTCCTGTTATTTGCACAATTATCAGTGGCACCGTGTTGAAAATGTGGAGGGAAACCGAAGTCTTACTGGAGTGAAAATTGTCTCGAGAGCTGAGACATTGTGGCTCAGTGATGTTCATGGTTATTAACAGTGCAATATTTAAACCTACCTCTTCCACCTCCCCTTCCTATTTCAGTCATTTCTCCACTTTCTGGAACTCCCTGCCTCTATCCATCCACCTACCTCTTCAACCGCGCTTATAGTCATCTACCCCCTCCCCTTCCTCCTAATACGGCTTCCAACCCTGCCACAGTGAAGCGCTTTGAAAGGTTATCCTACATGGAAGGTCGTGTACATATACAAATTGTTACTGTTGTGAAGCGCATCGAGGTCGATAGAGGACAGGGATGGGGGCATTGTGGGGGAAAGCAGCTCAGGTCGGGATGTAATCCCAAGGGCGCTATATAAATGCAAGTTATTGTTGAATTTCAAAGCAATTTTGATGTCTTATTTATTAAGGACTTAAGGTTTGCAAAATCTTTCCCCTTCCTCGCCTTCTTCAGCTCTGCCTTCTCCCACCCTCCACTCCCAGTCCCTGGATAAGGTACCCAGCCTGCTGCGTAAAGCACTCTGAGACTTCCTCCTGCTGTGAAAGGCGCTATATAAATGTGTATTATATTAAAACAAATTGTTACATTTGAACCTGTCTTGAACATCTTGACAGACTGTCTGTCTGACATCAAGTCCTGGATGAGAGCCAACTTTCTACAGCTGAATGTCAGCAAGACCGAGGCCCTCCTGATTGGCTCGTGGTAGCACCTCCGCACCTCAGGCACTGGCAGCATCAGCATCCACATCAGATGCACACTCCACCTCACCAAGCCAGTCAGAAATCTGAGGGTCTTGTTCGACCCTCAACTGTTCTTTCTCACCCATATCCGTGCCATGACCCGCTCTGCCTTACCCCACCCCCGCAACATTGCCCGACTCCGCCACTGCCTCAACTCTCAGGCCACTGAAACCCTCATACATGCATTCGTCACCTGCTGACTCCCTATCAACCTGTCCGCTCCCTCTGCTCAGCAGGTCTCCCGCCCGACCCGCCCTGCTATCAGCGGCCGGGCTTTCAGCCTTTCTGCCCTGACTTTTTGGAACTCCATCCCAGAATTCCTTCCTCTTACCTCCTTCAAGGCACGACTCAAGACCCTCCTTTTTGACCACGCCTTTTAGCTGCTCTCCTACCCCCTCTGTCCTCCCTCATCCCAACCCTGCCCCCGCCCCCATGCTCGGGTCCTGATCCCTGACTGTTCAGCATCTTGGGACATCCTCTCGACGTGAAAGGCGCTTTACAAATGTAATTTTGTTGTCTTCCAGTGACTGAAGTGCCAATTTCTTGCCCAACGGGATGGCTGCCGTTTGCAGGTTATTGCTATATTCTTCAGAGAGAACAAAAGACGTGGCAGCAGTCTTTAACAGCGTGCCGAAAGGAGGAAGGGGACCTAGCAAGTATCCATAACATTGAGGAGTATAGCTTTCTGATTAGCCAGCTCGGATACCGTGAGTGTTAAATACATTAAATGTTTTGGTCATCAGTGCATTTGGCATACACAGAACCCCACCACAATACTTAAGCATTCAAACCAAACAACTGAGAGTTTCATTTGTATATGGCAATTTTTTTTTGTCCAGAATGGATTGTCTACTCTCTCGTCAGAGGAATGATTCCTGGGAAGTATTAGGCGTAGATTGGCAAGAGTTAAAGCTTGGGGACATTAGAGTGTGCGTACAGTTTGAGTCTAACCAGCTAAACCTGCTAGCCTGCTATTGAAAGCATTGTCTGGCAAGTTTCCTGCTGATTTTCCAGCTGGGATCACCCTACCCTTTAGGCCTTTGGGGTTAACAGGAGCTGAATGGGAAAACCTGATCTCAGGTCTGTCCCTCCAAATCCTCCTGTTGAGTCAGGGTGGCTAGTCTATCATCAACAGTGCCTTCGATTTGATTTAATGAATACTAATTGAAGATTTGAATGGAATAGAATGAGTCGATCTGTATCTTATCCCTATAGATTTTAAGCTTGGCGATTATTTGGCAAGTAATTTTGCCATGTCCAATACAGTATAAACAATGATGTGCAAGGATATTGGAATTTTCTGGACCAGAAAAGACTTTTGACTGGTTCAAACTCTTAAACAGAATGATGAAAGCCTATCCTGTACTATATGGCTATTGCACTCAATTGATTTCTTTTCTAAATAGCTATTATTTAACATTATTTGAATCAATTAAGTTCCAAATTACACGGTAAACTGTGGTGGATCTACAATACTGTGAATGGTGGCCAATCAAAACCATGCATCCAACCATGTCAGTAATTGGGTTAACAGGAGCTGAGAGGGATGACTACTTGCCCACAGTGACTGGTCTGCCTTTCCAGGTCCTGCCGATGAGCCAGGCTGGCTGTGCTGTCTTCAGCAGTGCCATGGAATACTGTGGACCCACCTGGCTCAGGAACCGGACTACCAAGACCGCCACAGAGGGCCGGCTTGATTCTGACATTCCGTTGCCAAGCATTTCACCTTGGAGCCAGTTCAGCTTCAAGGAAACCCTGCTTACCTCGCCCCAAATAACTGAGTGGGATGATTCCCTGCCCCCAATGAAAGTAGAGAATTTGAAACAAATCCAATGTTGTGTGCCCTCCATCTCCATGGAGCACTGCTTGATAATAGCACCGGTCTATTGTAGACCTATGTTATGTGTAGTATACCCGACTTCTGGCACTGACTAGCTGGCTTCCCATGTTTAAAAAAAAATGGAAAACGTCTGGATCATTAGGTTGCTACTGACAACACTTCCTGTGTATTACACTTGTGTATGCTACGCACAGCACCCCTTCCTGCATGCATGCTACACAAGGAACCACTGTGTTACACAAGGTGCAAAGGACGTGAAGTTAACTGCATTCCTTGCCATAGTGCACATGCCCAGCACACAGGAAGTGATATTGGCAGCAACCTGCTAACTAAGAAGTTGGCTAAGTTTACACACTTCACTTATGAGATGGCCTCTGAACGATCAGAGGAATTATAATGAGGCTTCCTTGTATTATCATGTGCAGTTTTTTTTACAAAGTAGGAAGCCACATAGTCCTCTGAACTATTGGATCCAGTGGACTGCGTTATAATAAAGCTGCCCCACATTGTATCATACATATTTTTATAAAGTAGGAAGCCACATTACACTAAATGTTTAGAATATTTGTTTTTCTAAGATTCTAGAAATCTTACTTTAGTTTGGGAATATTGTCCATTTTTTTTTACCGCTCCAATTTGTTTCTTTCCTGTCCTGGGGAGATAACTCATGCTGAGATACGGCTGCGAAGGCATTCTCCATTACCTCAACTTAGTGACTATTCTTCGAGTGTGAGGTATAATGAGTGTCAGCAAGCCTTTGTACCATGAAGTCAAACAGTCAATCCTTACCTTGTCCTCAACCAACAGCCCAAAGACACATGCACACGTACTGTCACCCACTCAAACACACAGACAAACTGACTCCAACACATAACTTTTTGGGGGGTCAGTCAGGTGTCTGACACATGAGGGTACTTCATCACAATACTCAAGCGTATTCAAACAGAATGGAGAGTTCCATGCATCCCAACTATACATGGAAGTTCCTGAGATATTTATTGGAATGGAATGCGCACTATCTCCCTGGAGGGAAATATTCTTCTTATCTAATTCTGGAGAGTATTTGGTGCAGGTTAGCAAGAGCCAAGGCTCGGAGACCCCAGAGTGTGTGTTGTGGTGCTGCTGGAGTCTAACCAGCTAAAATTGAATAACTTGCCATTGAAAGAACTGTATGGCAAGCTTTCCCACTGCTTGTCCACCTAGGACTACCCTACCTGTTAGGGTTATAGCCTGCATGCTTAACAGGAGCTGATTGGGAAGAATCCCTACTCCTGAACACATCCGCATGCATACACGCACATATACAGACACAAAGGCATAAAAACACTTTCAAACTTAAAGTCGCTGGATCATTAGCAACCCTGATTGATTTAAACCCTTCCTATCTGTTCAGGAGGTGCCGAGCTTATTATTTTCACAGAATCAATTAACTAAGCATAGACTGGGAATTGAACATGGGACTCTCCAGGTCTGAATAACTCAATGGTTTTACAAACTGAGTCTTTAATAAAAAGTCATTTGTAAAGATGTTTTATTTTTGATGCATTTCAGTACCTACTGATGAGCTGTGGATTGGAATGAATGATATTAAAAATCAGATGCTGTTCGAATGGTCAGATGGATCTCCAGTAACATATACTATATGGGAGCATGATGAACCAAGTCATTTTAGTAACAAATATGAGGACTGTGTGCTTATGAGGACAAAGGTAAGAGGTTTATATCGTCTATGCATTTTCACACATCGCATCCCATGCTCCGAGAACCAGAGGAAAAAGTATTTTCAGGTAGCTGAAAATACGCAGCTAGAGAAAAGGGCTATCTCTTAATAGTTTAAAACTACATCTAAAAGGCACTCATTATATGATAGTTTATCTCACACTTTATAATCATAATTGTTATTTTAGAATCAGTAGGTATTACTTGATATTTTTACCAATAAATTTAATTTGATAGTTTCCTGCACGTTTGCTAAAACAGAAGATGTATGAGGGAAATATAGTAACTACATATTTAGTTGGCGAATGCATGTGCTTTGCCATTTTGTCAGATCTAGTGTTCGCCAATTATTTTTATTTTGAAGTGACGATGAGTGTTACTGTAAATTTTTGCCTCCAGAGCAGCTTCTAAGTTTTTTTTGTTTAACATTTATTTTCTAAGGTTGACTTTGCCTGGCTGAAAGTTTCCTTTTTACCGATTATCTCAGAGGTCTCAGGCCTAGGTTCACTAATTGATTTTAGCTCAGGAAGAATCACTCAGCAGATTCAGGAATTCCGGTTATTTACGAGGCATGGATTTTCCTCACGTGGTGCAGGAAGGAATTAATATAATCTGAAACGCTTGGAATGTAGAACAAAATGAACAAATAATAAGCGAAGCAGGAGGAGGTTCATTACGAAACCATTATATTGGCCCCTAGGGTTGTTAGACAGGATCCTGCAACTGAATGTTTAAAATTGTTTTTGTACTGATGTACATTTGACAAGAGAGACAGCTGGGAAAACTGCTTGAGATTAGACTAACAATCGTTAATAAATTGACTCCAGGGTGATTTCCTATCCGTTTTTTAAAAAAAATTCCAACAGTTCGTTTGAGATGTTTGTTGTCTTGAAACAATGAGGCCTGTGTAAAGGTACTTTATCTTTGAGTAACAGATCTTCATATAACCCAGCAACAGGTGATTTTAATACAATTCTAAGAAAGAAAAATACTTATTGGAAATGAACGAAAAAAAGACTCTGGGTCTGCTTTGGATACTAATGAGCATAGCGATATAAATCCCGGTATATATCAGACTAAAAACAAATTCTTGGAAAGGGAATCGTTCTCTTTGCAGGACTTCCCTTAAATATGAAGCTTAAAGTATTTCAGTTTATTATCTGCCCAAATGTAGAGCATCCCTTGGCTGCTACAGTAGAAGGAGTCTACGCACACATCTCTCTTACCTGTTGCACTGCAATGTGTGTGAGCTGTTGATTGTGGTCCCAAACTGACCTTTGTAAAAAGTAATTTTGAATGGTTGCATTATTTCTGACAGTGATGTTCTTATCATTCTTGCTACTGTCCACCCTGTGAGCTTTACTGTCTATTATTCCTGTTGTCTAAGAGATGGTCAGTGACATGAAGTATGATGTGGTCAATTTGGACAGCATGCCAACAGCAAAAATATATTTGTAGTGCTTTATCCAATCAATGTAGTGATCTTTCTAGATAATATACACATCTGAATGAGATAGCTGTGCGTTTTATATAAAAACAAATCCTTATATTTGGTATAGCACATTTCAAGACAGGAGGACTTCTGAAAGCACTTCACAGGATTTACTGTAAAGTGGTGTCACTTTATGTGTTTTATAGGTGAACGTGAAAACCAATTTGTACACCATAATGTCCCACAAACAGTCAAGGCATGAGTGACCAATTTTATTCGGGATATTGTTGCCTGGGACGTTGGGAAAAACTCACTTTTCTTTTCGAATAGTGCCATGGGATTTTTAACGTCTACCTGAACAGACAGACGAGACCTTGGTTAACATATCAGCCGATGGCAAGGATGGCACTTCTGTCATTGTAGCACACTACTGCAATGGAGTGTCAACTTAGACTTAGATGTGAGTTCCAAGTCCCGACGTGAGGCTTGAACCCACAAACGTCTGACTCAGAAGCTAGGGTGCTAAGAACTGAGTCAGGCTGACAAACACGACATTTTACATGTCCTGCATTCACATTCATAGATTCAGCACTGGATTTAGGAGCAATAATTTCAGATCATAGCTTGTGTGATTTACTAGTGAAAAGTATGAATTAAAAGGATGCAGATATGGAACAACATAGATATAATATCCAGTTTGGTCCAAAACTGGTAAGCATAAATTCATCTCCGACCACCCTGTTGTTATTATAATATTGGATGCTGCCATATTTATTGTACATTTTAAGTGAAAAGTAACAAAACTTGTGTGTTCTGCAGGATGGATACTGGGCAGATCAGGTGTGCGAAAAAGAGCATGGATATATCTGCAAACTCAAGCCTCTTGCAAAGGTTCCAGGAAATGAGCAGGAGATCCTTGCAGAGGAAGGGTGTCCAATGGTAAGCGGACATGCTTTATAACATCATTAATGAATTCTGTTAGCTCGTCTATCATTTTCTTTTATATTGATGTATTATACTGCATATCATCATAATGAAGTTAATGGGGTTAACAAAACACAACTTTATTTGACAAATACAGAACAATGGAAATGCAGGAAGTCATTATTATATAAATAAATTCACATTTCTGTAGCATTTTTCATGTTGGGAGGACACCTCAAAGAGTTTCACACTGCTGGCTGGGCACCACTGGTGGGAAAGTTTTCAGAAGTTTTGACCATCCTCCTTGGAATTCCATCCCAAAGTCCTGCCAACTCACCCCTTTCCTGCCACATTCAAAGCTCACTTCAAGACTTTTCCCTCCCCACCATCTTCAAACCCCCTCTTCCCTGTTTCTCCCCCTCCACGCAGCTTGCATGCTGAGCCAGCAGTATGAAGCACTTTGAGGTGTCCTCCCGACATGAAAAGCATTATGTAAACAATTTGCATTTATATAGCGTCCTTCAGCGAGATAACATCTAGGAGTGCTGAAGGTATTACCGTTTATGAGCTAGAGGCACCTAGAGAAGAAGTAAATAAAGGGAACAAAAGGGAATATGTAATATATCAATACTGTAGAACTAAATATTTCCTGAGTTCCTGTTGTTGTTATGTGGAACAATATAGTCTGTAAGAACCAAAACCGGGTATTTGGCCCAATTAGTTAGTTCTAGTATTTACACACCATCCATCCTAATCTCCTCTCCCTATTCCCCTTCCATATCTCTCTATTCCCTTCTCCATCATGATACAGTTCAATTGACATTTATATGATGCCTTTCACAGCGGGAAGACATCTCAAAGCTCAAAGAGTCTGATGTATGCAGGAATAATGTAAACTCGGAGAAAGGATGAAACTGTCAAAGTTTAAAAACATCAGTGCAATTATCGCTACCGGTTATTGCATTTAACATACGTTACTTCAATTGCGCATTAAAAAGGCTGCATTTATCTGCTTCATGTTATAACTCATACAGTGGTCGATATACTGATTTGGTTGCAGGGCTGGAAGAAATATGGGCTTCACTGCTATTTGACCGGGCAGTCTGAGAAGACTTTCAATGACGCAAACAAAGCATGCCAGAGTCAAGATTCTTTCCTTGTTAATGTTGAAGACAGGTGAGTAGGGTTTACCTTTTGGCAATCTTCCGGCGACAGAACTATAACATACTGTGATAAGTTAGCATCTCTCACAAAAATGGATAAACCATACCACCAGCAGACAGTTCATTGGTTTTGTGTGATTCTGAATTGGCAGAAAAGACGATGGACTTAAACTTGGTTAATATGTACAATACAAGGCAATTGTGCCGTTGACTAGTAACATTAAGAAGGTTCTGCGGAACAACCCTAATCTGCTCAATGGACAGCATGAAAACTTTCAACAAACCATGAGGAGAGTGAGCCTATTGGGGTTCTGACTTTCCTTTATAGTGCAGCAGGTGTGGATTGAACTCCGCCTGATACCACCTCCTCCAGTGCTGTCACTTCAGTATAATATCCATGGCTCAGACTTAGTTTATCTGGCAAATAAGGGGTTGAATGACTACAAATATCATGGCAATTTCCTGCAAAATTTGCAGAGTACAACAATGTTACTACTCCTCAATTATCATACTTTAGCAATCAGTGCACTTCAAATTCTGCATATATTATTAATATGTTCCAATACTGAATATATTCAGCATCAACACTACATTATAGTCATCAGTCACTTTCGTGGGAGGTAAGTTTTTTTGTTTGAGTCTTTTCTGAGAAAAAAAGCTATGTGCAAATTGCTCTGAAATCAACATAATACAATGTTAAGATAGATATTAGATTATTTGGGGGGAAATAAGTGTGTGAAGTAAATCATGGAGCAAAAGGTGTCATGGAGAAAAGGTAGGTAATGGGATGAAAAGATCTGTCTTAATTTAATAAATTGGCAGAACAAGCTCAGTGAGCCAAATATCCTCCTCTTCGGTTTTCTATTTGCATATGATCATTATTTCACTGGAGAACTTTCTTGCCTCCTCTCACACTGCAGGTACGAGCAAGCTTTTCTGACAAGTTTAATTGGTTTCCGAACTGAGAAATATTTCTGGGTCGGCGTGCAATCTGACCTAAAGACAAGGGGCAGCTTCAAGTCAACGAATGGAGAGGCGATCATGTTCACTCACTGGAATGCTGAGATGCCAGGTGAGCACGGTGCATCTGTTAGATCGATTCCATGGCATTGGTTCACTGAATCACTACAACATTAGAAAGCATGCAGCAAAAAACAGCCATTTGGCCCATCAAACCTAATCCTTCCACAGTCCACTCACGCCTACTCTTTCACAGTTTGCATTCACACAATCTTGACCTGAAGCTCTTAGGCTGCATGACCATTTTGTCTTAAAATTTAAAACCAGTCTTATTTTGGAAGATGTTTTTGCACACCTGATAATTCAAGAATTTTACAATACAAATTTACATTTGTATAGCATCTTTCACACTGGGAGGACGTCCCTAATTTTCCACAATTCCACAATTAACATTAAAACAGAATGGTCTTACAGGCTTAGAATAGGTAGAGTTTTGGTTCTATCATCCGGGTGGGTGGGATTGATACTTCACTTAGATAGGGGTCAGCCTGGCTAGGTTCATATCACTCATGCCTTTGAGTCAGAAGGTTGAGGGGTTCATGTCTCATGTCAGGACATTGTGATAATAATCTAGGCTGGCACCTCAGTTGTGCTGCATTGTCAAAGGTGTCGTGCTTCAGATGAGACATTAAACCGAAATCCCCTCTGCCTATTGAAGTGAACGTTATAGATCCCATGGCACTACTCAAAAGAGAAGAGAGTTGCTCCTGGTGTTCTTGCCAATAATCTCCTGGATAAAATTGGTCACGCTCTTCATGCCTGTTTGCCTGTCAGTAATGGGGCATTACTGTGCACTATTTGGTTGCTGCTTTTGCCTACACAGTTGCTGCATTTCACTGACTTATACAGCATCTTTTACTTCACAAAGCATATCACTCAGCTGATTTAGCACCTGAGCTGCTGGGGGCGGGGAGAGGAGAAAGAAGTGCTTACACACTTGTAGTTGAATAAAATGCAGTCGATAGGCAAGTTGGAATGTAGGCTTGAAAGCAGGGAGCAGGGACTTGGGGATAGAGTCCTGGACTCTGGGATGGATGGACTATATGTTTACCTAAATATACTGTACCTACATTTTGTCGCCTCAGAGAGAGAGAGTGCGCATTCTATTTCAATAAACAGCTCTGGAATTTCCATGTATAAGTGGGATACATCGAATTCTCAGTTTGGTTCGGATACTCTTAAGCACGGTGATGGATTTCCACGTGTGTCATACACAAGTTTGCCTAAATATACCTAAATTTACCTACAAACCGAGAATAACCTTTAGGTTTTAAAAATGAGTTTCTCTCCTATGATCTAATTGACAGCAGCAATTAATTAATGAGGACAACTTCATAGCGTCTTATTTGTTGGAATTTACTGAAGTAACATCAGCTGGAACTACTATTTCTTCTTCAAAGGGAGGAGCGTTGGTTGTGTTGCCATGGCAACTGGCAGTGCTGCTGGATTATGGGATGTTTACAATTGTGCGAACAAGGCAAAGTATATCTGCAAACGATGGCAAATTGGAATAACACCCACTCCATTTATATCCACCACCCCCGCCCCAAAATGTTCAGGAAACTGGGAAACGTACCAAAACTCCAGATACTGCTACAAGGTGAGTGATTCTTTTGTGGCGGGTTCTGCTCACACTTTGTGAGATGTAAACTAGATGGCCCTTGTTAGTCCAGTGCACTTTAATACTTATATTTTCATTGGCATTTAAAGATCTTTGTTTCCCCAGCTCATAGCAATGAGAAAGACCTTCCTCTTTAACTGTCTACAACTACCTCCCCTCTCTCTCTGGCTTGGAATCAAGCTCCACCACTGTTAAGTATTCTGAGAAGCTACTCTGCGTGAAGGGTGCTATATAAATGAAATTTGTTTTGTTGTTGTTGCGATTTTCAGCCACTATTGTTGTTCAGATTGGCAGTCAGAGAACACAGTTTAACCACTTTGTAGGAATCAAATAAAACTGTCCACGTGTGAGGTGTTCATTGTCGCATCATTGATGAATGCAGTTGTCAAGGTTGGTCAGTAACTAAAGATTGTCTGCTGGGGTATGTAATAAGTTCCCACACCCCCTCCACGTGACTCCATCATGATAACTGTAGGGTATTGGACTTCCAGGTGCTGACAAATTGGAATAACAAACATCTCCTCCAATTATACTGACCACTCCTGCTCCAACAACAAATTAATAATCCTGGCATTTGATATAACAATAATAATAATCTTTGCATTTGATATAGCCCTTTTCACATCTTCTACATGTCTCAAAGCGCTTCACAGACTATACTGTAAAGTGAATTGACTGTATATTTGTGGGCAAAACGTGGCAGCTAATTGTGCACAGCAGTCACAAACAGTCGTGGATTGAATAACAAAATCATTATTTATTTATTTTCTTGAGCGATTATTATCAGGCGTGGAGTAAGGAAACTTGCCCAAGGTTTCACCCTGCCAGGAATCAAACCCAAGTCTCTCGCTTGTGAGGAGAGTGCTTTCACTACTGAGCTACAGGGCTCCATATCCAGGATATAGTTCCTTACCATTTCGTCAAACGTCTCAAAGCGCTCCACAATTTTTATGTGAAGTGTAGTAGCTGTATTTGTAGGTGAATGCGGCGGCCAATTTGCAGTATCTCACAAACAGCCGTGAAGTGAATCTGGGGGATTGTTGGTCAGGACATCATTCTCCTTTCAAATAGTGTCATGGGGCCTTTAATATTTATGCGCTCTGGGATGCTATCCTGCGTGCAGGGCTCTTTATCAATGCAAGTTGTTGTAATATCTGTTTGAAAAGTGGAGCTTGGTTTAACATCTGATTCTAACAATGCAGTGCTCCCCTAGTTTTGCATTGGAATATCAACCTGGATAATAAGATCAAAGTCACAACATGGGCTTGAAGCCACAACAACCGGATTCAGAAGGACCTTGGTTTAACATTTTGCGTGATGTTAAGTGACTTCTTAATACAACGTATTTTTCCACACAGATATTTGAAAAATCTCAAATTGAAAAGAAGTCTTGGTTTGATGCTCGGGATTACTGCCAAGCCATTGGAGGGAATCTTGCCAGCATCAGTGATGTCTCGGAGGATGAGTTTCTCCAGAATAAAATAGAGTAAGTAGTGTATCTTTGCCCCACACAAAAAAAAACTTCTAAACAAGCAAAAAAAAATGAGAACAATGCAGTTTAAAATAATAGTGGATCAGGATTTGCCAAAGGGGAAGTTGAAACCACAGTGTTAGTTGACTCATCAATTCAAATTAAATATGAGACAGCAATAAAACAGAGTAAACAGGATTCCATCTTACACTGCCAAATCGGTTGAGTTCAGATCCTAGGGCTCCATGTTCCAACCATCTGGCCTCTGGCAAAAGGAATATATAGCAAAAAAAATTTAGACAAAGGTCCTAAAATTTGTAGTCAAAATTGCCTACCTTAGATTAAGAAAACAACGGTGGACTCTGGGACCTGAAAAGGAAGAAACCACTTACTTAGAGGTGGATGACTTGGTGGTCACTAGAGTTATTTTGTAGCAGAATTAAGTAAGAAATTTACTCCCAAGAATTTCAGGATTGCAGAGGCAAGAAAGAGGGCACAGTTAAGTGCAATTTTAAAATATAAACCAGTAAGTATTTTGCACCTAGAGAAATCAACAACTAGAATAGATTATCAGAAGGGACCTTTCAACAAACCGTACTTTTTTTTAAGTGAACTGATGTGAATTGCAGTGAGTTTGTATTTGAAGCAATCAATTTCCACACAGCAACACCTCACAAACAGCCATGAAGTGAATGATCAATTTATCTGGAGTGACAGGGTGGGTATTTTGGAAGAATGAGATGAAATGAGTTGAAGGGCTTTCTTTATCTTAACCTCTCTTTATTTTGTTAATCTCTTCCTTATCTTAACACCTGAAGCAGAAAAAAAACACTTATTATATTAGATTACTGTTTGGACTGTAGGCATTAGAATGTGGGCATTTTCTCCTTTCATTGTGAAATTCCTCTGGAAAAAATATACAAATTCATTAAACAAAAATCCTGTTTTAATTAAACTTGATCGCATGATCTTAAAAGCACGGATTCAAACTGTTTCACCCTTTTGACTTCAGAAGCAATTTCTCTTTCACTTAGATAGCACGTCATGGCTGTTTGTGGGCTATTGGTTTGCACAGAGAGGCTGCTGTGTTTACCTATAAATGCACAGTAGACCATCCAGATCTTCCCTCTCCCACACCAGGCTCAACACAAGCCTATCACCCACCATTCTTGCTTGGCTCCATTGACTCCCCATTCCCAATTGGATCAAAATCAAGAACCTCATTCTCACCTTTGAATCCCACTCTATCTCTTGCAACCGTACTAACTTGACTGCTCCCTTCACACGTTAAACACTGGCCTACTTCATGTTACCTTCCTTATCCGCCCCACCATCAACATTCAGGATATCAGCCATTCTGCCCTAACTCTGGAAAACCATCCTGGTGTCTCTCCAACTTGCTCCCTCCCTCACTTTATTCAAGGTCTGTCTCTTTGACTGCACTATTGGTCCTCTTGCCCCAGCCACTTTGGCTTCCACCCCACTTCAGGTTTCCAGCCAGCAACAACAACAAACTACATTTGTATAGCGCCTTTCACATCAGGAGGATGTCCCAAAGCACTGTACAGTCAGGGATCTGCACCCGAGCTGGTGGTTGGTCAGGAGTGGTGGAGGGTAGGGGTAGGAGGATGACTGAAGGCACGGTCAAAGAGGATGGTGTTCCAGCAGGTCGGAGCAGAAAGGCTGAAGGCCTGCACGCCAATGGTGCGGCGAGCAGGGTTGGGGACGTAAAGCAGGCCAGAGCTGGCTGAACAGAGGGAGCGGGCAGGTTAGCAGGGGGCTCGGAGATTACATAGTTGGGAGGAGCGAAGCTGTGGAAGGCTTTGAAGGTGAGGACCAGGATATGGAACTGTATCCTCTGAGTGATGGGAAGGCAGTGGAGTCGGGCGAGGATGCGGGTGATAGGGTTGTGGAACCTGGTGCATGAAAGGACACGGGCTACAGATTTCTGGATGATCTGCAGACCTATGGAGGGAGGCCAACAAGCAACGAGTTTGCATAGACGATCCTGGATGTGATGAATGCTTGGATGAGAGTCTCGGTGGCCTGGGGTGAGAGACAGTGGCGGAGCCGGACAATGTTGTGGATGTGGGGAAAGGCGGAGCGGGTCATGGCATGGATGTGGGAAATGAAGGATAGTTGAGTGTCAAGCAGGATCCTGAGATTCCGTATCGACTCTGTGAGGTGTAGGGCGCATCCAGGAAGGGTGATGCTGTCAGCGCCCGAGGTTTGAAGGCCATGACGGGAGCCAAGCAGGATTCAACCAGCAGTCTTGAGTACTTTGACACGTCTTCCCAACATGAAAGGTGAACTCTAAATGTAAACTGTATCAAATGAAAGGATTATTCGCGATTGCAAAGTATCACTGGTAGAGGGCAGCAAATTAACATTGCTATCAGGCAATTATATTTCTTCATGACAGAAATATTTCCCTTTTAAGTTCTTCCCTCTTTTGAACTATAGGTCAAGAAGGAGCCATCAGTCATTTTGGATTGGGCTGAATAAACCTGACCCGAATGGTGGATTTGTATGGAGTGATGGCAGCCCAGTAAGTGTTTCATTCTTAAGCGATTAAAGTTGATTTTTTTATGGTTTTAAGTATTTCCCTCTGTGTGGTTCAAATGTATTTTCTTGTAAAATGGAACAATAGTATCATTTTTTAAATCGATTTTATTTTGATACATTTTTCTGTGTTTTCTTCTTTACCCTTGTATTTTCAACAGTGATAGATATTCCACATCTACCCTGTTTATGTTTCTGCCGTAGGTAATTTATGAGAAATGGAACCAAGGAGAGCCCAACAATTACCGTGGACTTGAGAACTGTGTTGAGGCACGTCTCAGTGGAATCTTGCAATGGAACGACAACCATTGTGAAACCTATCAGAGCTGGATTTGCAAAATTAGAAAAGGCAAGCTTAAAAGATGGAAATGAGACCTTTGTCACATTTCTATTAAAAAAAATACTTCCAGCAGGTCAATATTGTGAACAAATACCACACAGGAAGTTGTTTATATTATAAGTAAGAGGTCACATGGCATGCAAACATCAAGAATTATACAAGCTTGCTATTTGAATAGGATGCAATGCAAGTCACATTTACATAGCGCCTTTCACGTTAGAAGTGCTTGACAATGTTGGTTGAGCACACAAGCTGGGAGTGGGAGCCTAGGAGGGCAGGCAGGGAAAAGATGAGGGATAACTTCAAGTCAAAGAGGTACATTTTGAGATGTGCCTTGAAAGAGCGCAGGAAGGAGCACGTTGGAGGGAATCTGTGATGGAGTTCCAGAGAGTGGGAGCAGTAAAGCTGAAACCCCACCTTTCCGACAGTAGGGCAGATAGGCAGGGGCCATGAAGCAGTCTGGTATTTCCTGAGTAATGGGAGTGGACTGGTCGATAAAGTTGAAGGGAAGTGCAAATGTAGGGAATTATGACCATTATTGCAATCCTTGATATTGTATAATTCTCGATAAATATTTGGCAAAGTTTAACCTTCTTTGAGATGTTGAAGATATTTAAAGATCTCTTTGTCTTCACAGGAAATCCTGTGAAGCCAGATCCTACAATTGCAGCTTCAGAGAGTGAGTACTATTTTTCTTCCCCTTGTTAGAAAATAAAATCAGCCAAATCTGTAAGGAAATAACGCTAATTCCTCTAACCAGATATCAAACTGTTTTATTGTTATTCGTTCGTTATTCCCCAATATCCCAATGGGTCAGACCAAAGGCCGGTACAATCAACAGATCTTATAACAGAATAACACCACTATAGATATCTCGAGTTCAAGAGTTCAACACTGTGTCTTTCCAGCACACAAGCTTGATTCTTCATGCTTTCAGTCTTCTTGCTTACAGCTTTCAATCTTCCATCTGATATCCTCAGTCTTAGTGTTTCCAGCTCTCAGTCTTCCATCTCCGTACCCTTGTCTCCGCAGCCCGGGATGGTCCCGTATCCTTGTCTCCGCGACCCGGGACGGCCCCATCTCCCGTATCCTTGTCTCCACGATCCGGGACGGCACCGTACACAAAGTTAACAGAATTCTTAAACCAATGTTCATCCAATCATTTTGCGGACATTAGATCACCTGTCGAAATCATGCTGGGTTCACGTGAGCACCTCATGGGGTGTACGTGCCTCAGCACACGACACATTGTCCTTAAGACTCCTGTTATCTGATCTAATTGTCTAAGGTAGAGAATTGATCAGTTTAGGACTGTATCTGGTGCTCATTATTTTGTGGTGTGGGTTCGTTAGTACATTCCTTTTAAGTGACTGGTTATTCCTTATCAATATCCCGGGATGGTACCAAGGTCCTCCAGTTTAAGCAACTTGCTCATTAATTGTTATTCTTGAGGGTTGCCTTCTGTCGGTTGGCAGGCCTTGTCAGAATCTAGCGACGTATTGCTCAGTCGAGATCCTGTGTCGACTGGTACCTTGGACCGTTACCTCTGTGGGCTTGTTGTCATTTACTGATAAGAGGTGACCCCCTGCCCCTGTCCGTTATTGTTTCAAAAACAGAGAAAACCAGATGTGTCCTATCCCATGACTGTCAGTCCAGTTGCCCCCAGACTTAACTTAAAAGTTAACCCGTTCGCAACATCTATTGTGATTCTAACATTATACAAAAAGTGTAAATTCTAACACCCTTTATTCGCTGTAAATCGTTCGTTACCTGATCCTGTGGTGTTGGTTCTAGGTAGACTACTGTTATAAGAATGCTTGCTAGACAAAAGAAGTCCAAGGTCCATTAAGTTGGCCTTTTACCATCCTGGCAGTCGCTTGACATGTTGTGTCCCAAACTATATACTGTATCCCGAGATATTATTTTCTAGCAGAATTCTCTCTACTTTGTTCTTGAAACAAACAACATATTCTGCTTTCACAGTCTCCTTAGGAAGCCTGTTCCATAAGTTTACTACTCGGTCACTGAAGTAGTGTTTCCACAGATTTATTCTAAATTAACACTCCTTCAATTGCAGGCCGTGTCCTCTGGTTTTCAGTACAAGATAAAACAACTTATTATGGTCGACATTATCTATTCCCTTCAGAATCTTAAAGACCGTAATCATATCACCCTCAATCTTTTCTTGACATTTAATACAATACTTTCTTTGGATAATGAACAGAGATTGAAACAACAGAAGATGGCTGGATTGTGTTTCATGATTCTCAGTATTACATTAACCACTATTCAATGTCGTGGGATGAAGCCAGGACATACTGCAAGAAGCAACAAGGAGATCTTGTGATCATCAGTAGTGCTTCCGAAAGAAATTTTTTGTGGAAACAGGTAAGGGAGGTTCTGTAATTTAAAAAAAACAAAATCATCTTTGAAATTATTGGTTTCTTTGGGTTAATGAAACTTTTTTTTAGTCTCTCTGAAGATGTTGTGAACTTAACCAGGAATGTCTTTGCAGATTGCCAAGAATGCCAACAATCAATATTTCATTGGCTTGGTTGTGGATCTTGATAAAAGTTTTCAGTAAGTAAATATTATCGAGTCCTGTAGAGTATTGGTTAGAGCACTTGCCTTGTAACCGAGAAGACCCAGGTTCGATTCCCGTCAGGGTAAGTTAGGCAAGTTTTACCTTACTCCACATGCCTCTGTTTACCTAGGAATAAATAGGAACCCAGTATTAGTTGATTGGTGGATTTTCCAGCGTTAGTCACTCAATCTATGACTGTTTGTGGGACATTGCTGTGTGCAATTGACTGCCACGTTTCGTCCACAAAATATACAGTCAATTCACTTTACAATATATTCTGTGAAGTGCTTTGAGATGTCTCAACAAGATAAGGCACTGTATCAAATGCAAGGATTATCATTATTATATTGCTGATGCCTTTTGTACTCTTGATTTTATAGTCTGTCTCCGAGCATTCTTTCATAATTGATAGCAAATACTTGGCAATTGATACCACAACAGAATCTAACGCTACCTCTCTCTCTTGTTCCGTTGAAAGATCGACACTATTTGTGGGTGTAATGTTAAAAAAAAAAGCATCTTTGAAACATAACAGGATTAGGCCTTTCAGTCACTCGAGCCTGTTCTGCCATTGTATAAGATCATGGCTGATCTGTACCTCAAGTCCAATTACCCGCCCCTTGCCCCATATTCCTTAATACCCTTACCTAACAACAACAACAACAAATAAATTACATTTATAGAGTGCCTTTCACGTCGGGAGGATGTCCCGAAGTGCTGAACAGTCAGGTGTCGGGGCCTGAGCATGGGGGAGGGGTGGTGTAGGGATGAGGGAAGGCAGAGAGGTGGGAGGGAGACCAAAAGGCACGGTTGAAGAGAAGGGTCTTGAGACCGGCCTTGAAGGAGGCAAGGGAGGAAGCGAGGTGAAGGGACCGTGGGATGGAGTTCCAGGGTATGTGGGCAGAGAGGCTGAAAGCCCGGCCACCGATGGTAGGACGGGTCGGGTGGGAGACAACGGAGGCTGCTGAAATATCTACCCACCTCAGTCTTAAAGATGTGAGGGATCCAGAATCCACAGCCTTTTGGGGGAGAGAGTTCCAGATTTCCACTACCCTTTGGGTGAAAAACTGCTTCCTAATTTCACTCCGAATTGGCCAAGCTTTAATTTTAAGATTATACCCCCTTGTTCTGGAATCCCCCTTGTTCTAGAAATTGTTTCTCTATATCTACTCTATTAAATCCCTTTATTATAAAAACCTCCAATCAGATTACCCCTCAGTCTTCTAAACTCAATGGAACAGAGTCCATGTTTATGCAACCTGTCCTCTTAACTTAACTCTTTTAGCTCTGGTATCATTGTTTTTAGTGATTTGTGTATGTGGCCTCCCAGATCCCTTTGTTCTTCCACAGTTCTTAGTTTCTCACCATTTAGAAAGTATTCTGTTTTGCTGTTTTCGGACTCATAGTGGAGGACCTCACACGTTCCCGCATTGAATTCCATCTGCCACAGTTTTGCCCACTCACTTAATCAATCTAAGTCCCTTTGTAACTTCCTGATCCCATCTACACTATTTACTGTGCCTCCTATTTTGTGTCACCTGGAAATTTGGATATAAAACTCTCTATTCCTTCATCCAAGTCATTTATATGTATGGTGAAAAGCTGAAACCCCAGTACAGACCCCTGGGGAACACCACTTATCACATCTTGCCAATTAGAGACTGTTCCTTTTATCCTTACTCTTTTTTTAGCCTCCTATCCAATTACAAAGCCACGTTGCAAGGTTACCTCTGATTCCATGCATTTTTATTTTTGCTTAAATCCTTTTGTGTGATAAGCTTTCACACAAGAGGTTATAAGCAAAAATAAAAGTGCATGGAATCGGAGGTAACCTTGCGACGTCCATATAGACAAAATCCATAGACACTCTCTTATCTACCAGGTCAATGACCTCCTAAAAAGATTCCAATTAGATTCGCCAGACATAACCTACCCCTCACAAATTCATGCTAACTTTGTTTGATTAGCTCATATTTATCGAAATGCTCAGTCACTCTATCCTTGATGAGAGATTCCAGTAATTGCCCCACAACTGAAGTTAAGCTGACAGGTCTGCAGTTACCTGATTCCTCCCTCTCTCCCTTCTTAAATAATGGAGTGACATTTGCAATTCTCCAATCCAAGGGCACAATTCCCAAACATAGTGATCTTTGGAAAATTATGACTAATGCATCTTCAATTTCCTCTCCTACTTCTTTTAATACCTGGGGTGGAATCCATCAGGTCCTGGAGATTTGTCTATCTTTAGTCCCATTAGTTTCTCCATTACAATTTTTATTGCTATTATATCAATTTAGTACTTCTCTTTGGCTTGTTTTTAGGTTCCCTTGTACCACTGGTATTTTGTCCTCTTCCTCTACTTGAAAATGGAAGCAAAGTATTCATTCAACAAGCCTGCCATTTCCTTATTACCCTTATTACCATTTATAGTCTCACCTACATCTGTCTTTAATAGTCCCACATTCCCCTTTACCAATCTCTTTCTCTTAATATATTTATAAAACTTGTACTGTTGTCCTTGATATCAATTTTTTTCTCATATTCCCTTGTTGCACCTCTTATTACTTTCTTTGTATCTTTTTGTTACAAAGGATCAGTTTTAATCCTCTGAGGGTGGATTTTCCATTTAAGATATTGCATCAAGGAAGAGTTAGGTGGTCCTTGAACCTTTTCATGAAAAGATTATAATGATAATCTTTACATTTGATAATGTGTATTTAATGGTCAGATGTTTCAAAGCACTTTACAGCAGCAACAGCTTGCATTTATATTGCACCCTTCAAATAGTATAATAGGGGAAGAAGTGACGCACAAACAGATCAAAAAACCTTTAAGGGTAATCACTGACTAGTATAACGACCATTCATGAATTAGAACACGGGATACTTTGTCTCAAGTGGCTATTAAGGCTGAAATTACACGGTAAAGTTTTGGAGCATTACTTGAAGCATTTGCAATGGGTAAGGTGCCACATCCGAGAAATTTTGTTGTCCCATGTTGTGCAAAATTACTCCAGCAAAAAGGCCACTAGATTGCAATGCATCCCTCTTGGGAAGTCCTTTCTTCCTTTCAGAAATGGATCACCGCAAGTTTTATTAGTCTTTGAGGTGAGGTATAATTGTAAATTTTAGTGCACAGGGGAGAAGAGGCATCTAACCTATTTTGTTTTTTTTGCATATCTGTTTTCCCGATGGATCTGCTGAGGAGCACAAAATTCCGCACTCTCTCTAATCCAGGAATCATTTCCCCTTGTTTTGGGGCTAGTCTGAAGCTTAAGGTCTGATCTGTAGAGAATGAAAAGAGCAGACTTTCTCTCAGTGTCTTGGCCAACAATCCTCCATCAATAGCTGCTGTGTTCACAGTCACTACACTTGACAGTAATTTATTATGCAGACATTTCAATGACCCTATAAAAATGCAAGTTATCTGGCTCAGTTTTGCTTCTGAGTCAGAAAGTTGGGGGGAGTGCTGGGGGGCAGTAGAGCTGCATTGTCAGAAGTGCCATCCCTTGATGAGACATTAAAGCAAGGTTCTGTCTTCAAATGCAAGATGCCGCTGATCCAGAGCTGAGAGGAGATAGGAGAAGCCACTTCAGGTGAGGGAAGGGGCTGCTGTCACTCAGTGGCTTCTTGGTGTTGAACAGAATTGTTTTTGTAATTTTTGCAGGTGGATTGATGGCTCTCCAATGGATTATGTAGCCTGGGCGCACCACGAACCTAATTTTGCAAATAATGATGAAAACTGTGTAACCATGTACACAAATCTTGGTAAGAAGATATGAACCAAAGGAGTAAGCTACAGGAGTATGAGGAAAGGACAGTTACATAGGACTATGGACTGAAAGGATTGTTCTTAAAAGGACCAGTATAGACACGATGGGCCAAATGGCCTTCTGTGCTATAAATTTCTACTAATTAGTTCTTACTAATGTCTGCATTTGCATACAGGTAGTCAATACACCTTATAATCAAATCCTTTGAAGAGCTTTGAGATGTTTCAATGACACGATAAGGACTTCTATTAAATTCAAGGATTATTATTATTTTTTGGACCTTTAAAACACAAGGAGTTCAGGAATTATAGGACTTTGCAGTGTGTGATTTTAATTGAAATTTTCCTGAATTGTTAAAGCACCTTAAGATACAGTCACCCGGTTACAGGTATACAGAAATCATCTGGATTTGCAGACTTAATGCAAAACAGTTTTAATTGTAGATCACTGCAAGTTAGGAATCTGAAGACAAGCTAAGAACTTACAGAAAGAGCTCGACAGGGTGTGCATCTGAGCTGAATATTGGCAAATGAAGTTCAATCCAGATAAATAAGAAGTCTCAAAACCTACCTCTTTGACTGTATTTTTGGTCATTTTCCCCTCCCTACCACACCTTTCACCTTTGAGGTGCGAAACCATTATTGTGAAGAACCTTGGGACATACTCCCAACATGAAACATGCTATGTAAATTTGTATTTACTTTATATATTTGTACTATGGGATCTTTTACATCATTTGAACGGACAGATATATCCCAGTTTAACATTTCATCAAAAGACTGACACCTCCAGCAATGTAGGATACCCCAACAGTAGCATTGTACTATCAACATAGACTATACAAGCTTAAAGTCCCAACATTGGGCTTGAACCCCCAACTCCTGAATCAGAGATGAGAATGCTACCGACTGAGACAGGCTGGTAACCTATTGATCTTATTCTGATAGACCGTGATCCTTTTCTGTGTCTTTATACAGTGAAGCTTAATTAATGATATTTATCCTCCATTGGGAAGAGACTACCATTAAATTTTAGCAGAGAAAATGGAGATTGGATGTGGAGAGTTAATGTTTGATCTGGTTAATGAAAGAATTACTTTAGTTCTAAGAATAATTTCTACCTTTGTTTTGTTTCACTTTGTAAGGATTCTGGAATGATATGAATTGTGGTAATCAATTCCCTTTTATATGTGAAAGAAGTAACAGTTCAACAAGACCAACATATGTTTCCACATTACCGCCTGGACCAGGGGGATGTCCTATTGGCTGGGTTCCTTTTGGAAAGAAGGTATTTTATTTTTGCTAATAACCTATTGTATGGAACCTTATTAAACTCCTTCTGAAAGTACATTCACCTTACAAGTACATTCACCTTGAACGTACATGCTCATTCTAGAATTAAGGTTTCTTGAATGAAACTACAGAATAACATTTGCGATATTTCTTAAATATTCCTTAAAATTGCACTGGTGTTAATTCCTGCTGTAGTTAAAATGTTTTTAGTGTGAACTTAGCATTCCTAGTTTCATATTAAAAGCTTCTGTAATACCCTTTATAACCACTGGTGGCAGTGTAATAATAATAAGTAATAATCCTTGCATTTAGTGTAGCATTTTTCACATTGGGAGGACATCCACAGTGTTCCACAGACAACGATGAGGTAAATGACCAATTTTATTCAGGGAATTGTTGGCCAGGACACTCGGAGAAACTCCCTTGAATAAATTTTGATCGATCTTGTGATTTTCTAATGTCTGAAGACTTATAAAAACATGGCTTTATGTGGTATAATCCAATAATTTACTATTTTCTTTATAATCTCTCAGTGTTTCATATTTTACGGTGAAGATAAAGTACACAAATTGCCTTGGCATGGTGCGAGAGATATTTGTATACTTAAAGGAGGGAATCTGGCAACAATTGAAAGTGATTATGAACAAGGTATGTAGTTTATACAGTGACATAGAGTAGGCTACAATGTGACGATCACCTGTAGATGTGTATTCAGATGATGCACATCAAAGGGAGATTCATTTTCATGTCCTTAGGTATAAGGTGAGATCTTCTGTCCCAGAAAGCAGGTGGGATTTTACCTCTGAAAAGCATTGAGGCTACAGATAAAGACACAGATAAAAGCATAGGAATATACAGAATGAAAAGACCAACAAATGTAATTTGTTGTTGTTCCTGCCTTTGGTCTCCCTCCCACCTATGTGCCCTCCCTCAACCCTACTCCACCCCTCCCCCATGCTCGGGCCCCGATATCTGACTGTTCAGCGCTTTGGGAGGTCCTTCCGATGTGAAAGGCGCTCTATAAATGTAATTTTGTTGTTTGCAGTCCATTTTGCTGGTCCAAAAGCAAACCAAATATAATTCTTGACTATTTCTCTCCTATCCCTAAAACCAGTTTATTTGCGAAAAACTAATTCCTTTTGAATTTGTTGATACAATCTGGCTACACTGCCCTCTGGGTGGACTATTTCATATATTCCCCATTCTCTGTGCAAAGCAAGCAATCCAAATTATCTATTTATCATCACTCATCTGAGCTTGACTCTGTAATTGACCACGTTTAGCATGTTTGGGTTGAAAAAGATCTGCTGACAAACGTCGTAACATTATTGATGCCTGGAAAAACTGCTTCCTGTTATGAACTCCATTTGCACAGGGTACCTCTTGAACGTCATTCTAACTTGTAACTTGAGAGCTTGTTGCTGTTCAAAGCAGTGCTTAGGCCACAAAGCATTTTCCAACATTTTGGCACCAGTAACTTGGAGGAATGTCAGATCACAGGTCTTTTTATCTCCCTAACCCTTTCCAGTAATATCAGAAAGTTTCCAGCAATGCCAGTATATGGTATGAAATGTAGTGAATCCCAGGCTTGTCATACCTCCAGACACTTCAGGCCCCAAATTCCACCTAATCTTATCCTTTAGCCCATTTTGTGTTAACACTGTGTACCATGCAGAATTATAGAACATTCTTAAATTTAGTCTTAGTTTGGAAGTTAGGTTTCGGCAGTTTGTAAAAATAACTGGCTTCCAAATTAAGATTGAATTTAAGAATTTTCCAGTTCTGCATAACCTTTAAGACATAATGGTCTCAGAAGCTAAGACTAGACCACTTTATTCCCAACACTTGAATTACTCCATTCCATATACATATCTGTCTGTGCTGAATATAACCGTAATCTATCTTGTTGTTTTACCTTTCTTTTTCCTTTGCAGCATTTGCTACCATGTCCCTGAATGGCTTTCCTACAAATGTGTGGATTGGATTAAATGATATTAACAGTGAGAACAAATTTACTTGGACCAATGGAAAACCGATGATCTACACCAATTGGGCCAAGGGTTTTCCGTCAGGAAGCAGTTTCACATTTCGCAGCCAGGTGAGTACCAACCTCACCACAGCAGTTCTCGGTTCTGGGGTTGTCTCGTTCCCCCAATAAATTCTGCTTTACTTGTGCATGAATATTGTAGCCTCCAGAGGGCAGATTTATTGCTGTTCAATAAATCTGATGCCCCACAGAGATAATCAACAGTTACTAACACTGTTTTTTTCAAAACACACAGCAATTCCAATTTATTCTGTTTCATATCTTTAGATTCATATTCTTTAAATACCAAACATTAGTCTTACAAAGAGTGCTTGATAAGATATCCACATGAGTTAATAACTGGCACATGAAGTTTAATACAGATAAATGCAAGATGCTGCATAAAGGAAATAAGAATAGGAAACACATGTATTCCATGTATGGGATTGAATTTGCCAAAGGGGAAATTAAAAGAAATCTATGGATCTTAGGTGATTCATTGCTTAGTATGTCGGGGGGGGGGGGCGAAATTGCCTGTGGCCAGTCTAATTATTTACTGTGATAGTGGCTGTTGATAAAAATGGTTACACCAGCAAATAATGTTGGTAATTGTTATCTTTAACAGTTCTTTGACATTTTACCAAACAGTCCATGTGTAGTATCTGTAGAGCGCTTTAACAATTAGATATTGCTTTCTATCGATTTGTTGAATACTGCTGGTAACTTTCTGCTGGTGTTGGCTGCCTTTGGTGGTAACTCTTAACTTATGATAACTTTTTTTTCGTATATATAGAATGCTGACTGTGTCTGGCTGAGTATAAACAAAAAAAATGAAGAAGGATGCTGGGTAGATAACGACTGTAGTTTAAAACGGGGCTTTGTATGCCAGAAGGACAAAGGTAAATATTAGACCTTTATGTCACAGGAGAATTCATAAGGAACAGAAAAAGCCATTGGATTCAACTAAACCTTCTGCATTTCAGTCCCAGTGTCTGTCTTCTGATCAAATCATGTGTTAATGAATCTATTACAGGTTACAATTTTCACTCCACAGTTGTTGAAGGATGTATTATCTCAGCCAACTAACTCAGCAACAGCAACTTGTATTCATACAGTGCTTTTCATATGGAATAAAGTCTTGGAGTGCTTTACAAGGGAGCAAGGGACGATGCGATGGGGAGGTGACCATAGGCAGGGTTGAAGAGATAAATTTTAAAGCGAGACTTGAAGGTAGATAGAAAGGGGTTAAGTCGGAGGGGTCGGGGGAAAGAAATTCCAAAGGTTAGAGGCATAGAATTAGATATTTCATTCCCCGGTCTTTGCATAAGTAGGGCCTGGGTTTCACAGCAAGCAAGAATTAGCTGACTGGAGGGGCGAGCAGAAGTGGAGTAGGTGATCAGAGAGATAGGCAGGTTCTAGAGCACAAAAGGATTTATAGGTGAGGATGGGAACCTTGAAACTGATGTACTTAGAGACAGGGAGCCAGTTGAGCCTGGCAAGGACGAGAATGATGGACTTGTGGAGATTGGTGCAGGTGAGGATATGGACGATGGAGTTTTGAATGAATTGATGGATGGTGGAGCGATAAATTGGTGGATCAAAATCTTTTACCAAATATAATAAAATCTTTTCTGGTTGGAGTTATTGACAGACATTCTTTTATATAATAAAAATGTTAATTGACATATCCAAATAATAACCAAATGCAATATTCTCCACAGATCGTGCGTTGACTTTGGGGCCAACAACTGTGCCAGAGCCAACATATATTGAGTATGACAATAGTACCTACAAAATAATCCAAGTGAAGCTTAAATGGCAAGATGCCCGGAAGGTTTGTGAGGCAGAGCAAGCCCAGCTTGTTAGTATCAGGAATGGTTTCGCAAATGCCTTCCTAATGTTGCAAGCCAGAAAACTCGACACAAAATTGTGGATCGGATTAAATGGTAATGAGGTAAGGAGCAAAGAGTAAAAGTGGACTGATACAATGAATTGAAAACTGAAGAAAAGTGCTAATTTTGGACAGTGGAGTCCTGTAGCTCAGTGGTTAGAGCACTCGCTTTGCAAGTGAGAGACCTGAGTTCAATTCCAGGCAGAGGGCGAAACCTTGGGCAAGTTTCCTTACTCCACACGCCTAATAATAATCCCTCCAAAACCAAAAACAATAATAAATTGGTCATTTTCAATCTACGACTGTTTGTGGGACATTGCTGTGCGCAATTGGCTGCCGCGTTCGCCCACAAATATACAGTCAATTCACTTTACAGTGTGTTCTGTGAAGCGCTTTGGGACGTCCTCCTGACGTGAAAAGCGCTATATCAAATGCAAGGATTATTATTATTATTATTATTATTATAATTATCCTCCTTTGGAGTGTGTGTGTGGTGGGGGTTTGGGAGGAGGTGCGCAGGGTCTCCTTGGAGCTGAGTTGGCTCGAAGGTGATGTGCTTGGCAACAGAATATTGGAATTGAGTCAATCCTCTGTGGAGGTCACAGTAATCCAATTGCTGAGCCAGGCAGGTGAGGTACCCCAAGACACTGCTGATGACACAGCAGGCAGCCTGGGTTGTTGGCAGGATTTGGAGAGCAGACAGGGATTCGTCCATTTATGAATCCTGCATGCCAAAGCCCTAATGGATAGGCTGCTCCGACCTGGACAAACAGCAAGAAGCTTGCCGGGCAGTACTCTCAATGGCAAGTTATATGGTATAGCTGTTTGAATTCCAGCAGTACCCCAACACATCTTCTGGGGTCCTCAAGTCATGCCTCTTATATCTAATGCTCTCCAGAATTAGATAAGCAAAGTGGTCTCTCTTGGGTGAGAGTATGCATTCTAGATGCAGGGAAATTTCATGTGTAAATGGCATAAATATTTGGAACTCTGTCTGGTTTGGATAGTCTTAAGCATACTGATGAGTTTCCCCAAGTGTTATATACTGCCTGAGCAAAAAAAGAGTATTAAATGCACTGCATTACTGAAAATCTTTACCCAAATGTAACCACTTAAATAAGTTTGTGTATAATCTCATAAATTTGAATGTTTCTGAATATCAAAGCAACGTTTCTGAATCATGAAATCTTCTTTAGACGGCAAGAGAGTTCAGGTGGATTGATGGGTGGAAACTGCGCTTTTCAAAGTGGGCTGTTGGAGAACCCAAAAATAATTACGATTGTATCATCATCAATCAGAACGGATTCTGGGAAACTGCAGAGTGTGATGATGAATATTGGGCTATTTGCAAAAGATCTTCAGGTAAGAACTGTTTGTTTAAACCATTTAAGTACTCTGAGCCGTGGCCCCACATGAAGGGCACTATATAAATTCAAGTTTTTTTTTGTTTGCGATGAACTTGAGAATATTTTATTGAATATTCAATTGAGAATATTTTAGTTTGTAAATAGGAAACCAGAGAGATAACATTGTGAGGTATGATCACATCATTGAAATTTACAAAAAAAAACTTACAGCAGTTCCAGTGAGCTGCAATTAAATTCTCTGCCCATTGACCAGAAGGTCATTGGTAACCATCAGCAGCTTCATGCACTATCATTGTACCAAAGGTGAGGTAGTGGAAGAAATCTAATCAGCTGTTGCAGGGAAAACCAGTTCCCCTAATTACTGCCAAAGACTCTGTCTAAAGGTATATATGTACCCGTGGCCATAGAATGATCAAAATCCTCCCAATCTCAGTCATAGAATCTATGGGACAACCTGACTCATTTGTTAGCACACTTGCTTCTGGGGCAGGAGGTTGTGGGTTCAAGTCCTGTATCGAGGACTTGAAGCTCATTGTTTTGGCTGACAAGTTAGTGCAGACTTAACATAATAATAATATAACCCTTGCATTTGATGTAGTGGAGCCATCTCAAAACGCTTCACAAGGATATATTGTAAAGTGAATTGACTATATTTTGTGGGCGAAACACATCTTTGAGAGCACTACATCTTCCAAGGTGCCATCCAAAATACTGCCAAATGTTACATTTTAAGGTTAAGATTGTAAGAGATTTTACATCTTGAAGGGCAAGATTGAGTTTGGTTGTGATGCCCCCTTGTGGTCACAGATGCACATAACATAATAATAATATTTGCATTTGATAGAGCGCCTTATCATGTCGTTGAAACGCTTCACAGAATATATTGTAAAGTGAATTGACTGTGTATTTTGTGGGTGAAATGTGGTAGCCAATTGAGCAGAGCAGTGTCCCACAAACAGTCGTGGATTGAATGACCGAATTATTATTTTTAAAAAATTTTTGAAGGGCTTATTACCCTCCAGAAAGCGATCCACCAATCAACTAGCACCTGAATGTCTACTTACTGCTAGGTAAACCGAGGCTTGTGGAGTAAGCAAACTTGCCTAAGGTTTCGCCCTACTCAGGAATCCAACCCAAGTCTTCTTGCTTGTGAGTTGAGTGCTCTAAATATGCTAACAGAGATGATAGTCAATGGGCTACAATTCAAACTAGCATTTGAACTTAAAACTTAGGAGAATTGTTGATATATTTGGCTCTTTTGTTAAGGGACCATATAAAAGTTCCACCTGTGCCAGTTGAATCCTAAAAATAATGCAAATTGCTTTGGAAAATAGTGGAAATTTCTGAAAACTCTGAGTGGGAAAGGATAAGATGAATGCCTGGCCATTTCATTGGATTCATTGGATTGACTTTCCACCACACAACTGGTACAGAGCCTTGCAATCTTTCTGTAAGCAAGCAGACAGAAAATGATAAGGTGTGAAGGAGAGATATTTTAGTCAGATGGGTGTCTGACATATGCCCATCATTGTGCTTAAGAGTATCCAAACTGGATGGAGTCCCGCATTCATATGCCACTTACATGCGGAAATTTCCCTTTCTGGAACGGAATGCACACTCTCTTCCTAAAGCAACCCACTCGGCCTCGTTAATAGTATTGGGCACAATTTTTAGACAATAATATATTTAATATATAGTGAGTGTTAAACTGTACCATTGGGCCTGTCATTACCAATCTCAGAGTTTTAGCAAGAGGTACATGTTCAAATGGTGGAAGAATTGGAGTTCGAGTCATGTGTGTCATGACTTTGTCACTGTTCAAATGCTAGGAGGTGCATGAATCATTCCCTCATGCATTTGAACAATGACAAAGGCTGAAGCCTTGGTAGCATGTGCCCCTTTTCCTCAGGGGAGTGACATGTGACAATAATAATAAAAAAAATTCTTCTATTCCTCTCTTTTAAGGATAAGCACAGCAATGGATTATTTGGAAACAGGAATTTGTTTGAATCTCTGTGTTATAACTGCAGTCCTTGCCCCTAGGGAATGTTGACGTTAAGTCAAGGTGGCACCAACACAACAACAAGATTACATTTGTTTAGCGCCTTTCACGTCGGGAGGGTGTCCCAAGGCGCTGGACAGTGTACAGCATTTCAGACCCGAGCTGGAGTCAGGGGGGGAGAAGGGAGGAGAGGGGAAGGGGGGGTGGCCGATGGCATGGTCGAAGAGGAGGGTCTTGAGGCGGGACTTGAGGCGGAGTGAATGGGGAATAGAATTCCAGAGGTTGGGGGCAGAGTGGCTGCAGGCTCTCCCGCCAATGGTGGGGCGGGTGGGTCGGGGGACATAGAGCATCAATATCTTAATGGTTGGAATTTGTACATTTCACAGAGCTGCCACCAACTGATGCCCCTCAACTCCCAGGAAAGTGCCCTGAATCAACGAATACTAAAATGTGGATTCCATTCCGTGGCCACTGCTATTTGTTCGAAACAATGTTTTCAAAAAACTGGGCATCTGCCAGCCTCGAATGCATCCGTCAAGGTAAAAGGTTTGAACAAGACTTGATTGAAGCTTGTTATGGTATCAGCAATGTCCTCTATATAACATTGATACAGTTTGCATCCCTCCATATGGCTTCATCAAAGATTGGGTTCGTACCACGTGAAGTCCAACATCTTACCTTCCCTGCCCCAATGTGCTGAGCATTCTAACAGTATGTATCCCATGGTGTGAAGTTAGACTTTAAGTCAAGGGACTGAATACACTTATCATTTACAACATTGTCCTAGCCACCATTTCTAATTGGACACATTATCAATGAGCAGTTGAATGCATGTCACCTCAATTCAAGTCACTTGATTTAGTAAATAGAACCTGTCATTGATGATATTTTCCTTGGGTGGGAGGGAGGGGAGGAGTTTAGCCAGGGTGTTTGATTTAACTCTTGGACATCGAGTACTACCCTACCACCTAGGGCTTTGGCTTGCAGGTTCTACCTTTCCAAGTCTTGGCGATGAGTGAGACTGATTTGTCTATCATCAGTGGTGCCCTGGAATCCTATAGACCCACTTGGCCAGGAACTGGACTACTGAGACTACCACAGAAGGTTGACTCAATTCCATTACTCCATTGCCAAACATATCTCCTTGGAATAAAAACAGAAGTCGCTGGGAACACGCAGCAGGTCAGCGAGCATCTATGAAGAGAGGAAAATGAGTTAACGTTTCAGGTCAATGACCTTTCATTAAAACTGTCAGAGTTCTGATGGAAGGTCATTAACTCATTTTCCTCTCTCCATAGATGTTGCCTGACCTGCTGTGTGTTTCCAGTGACTTCTGTTTTTATTTCAGATTTCCAGCATCTACAGTATTTTGATTTTGTATATGGAATACGATATATATACTAAACATCTTTGATTTATGATTTGTTATTTTTTGTATCAAAAATATTAAAAATGCTTTTAAGCATTTCAAGATGGCAAAGCAAGAAGGGCACTGTATAAATGCAAGTTGTTGTTGTTTATATCCAGTATTTTAATATTACGTACATGCAGGTTCTTCATTAATCAGTATTACGGATCCTGTGGAAAATACCTTTATAGAACATACACTAGAAATCATGTCTGACAGGACGAGCCAGCTCTGGATAGGAATGTATTTGAATATTAAAGGTAAATGGGCTTCATACTTTTTTAATTAGAACTTAGTTCCATGAATGAAAAATAATTACATAGAATATTAATGAAAAAAAATAACAGGTTGAGATAAAACCAATAAATGTAATGAATGTTTTTCACTGTGTTAAATTTTAATGAGCTAGTACAGTAACATTATATGATTTAATGTGAAATTGAATACATTTCCTGTTTCAAATCATCATCTTATTTAGCACAGTGGCTAGTGCGCTCGCCTCACAAGTGAGAGGATCTGGGTTCGATTCCCGTGTGGGGAGAAACCTTAGGCAAGTTTCCTTATTCCACACACCTCTGTTTATCTAGCAGTAAGCGGAAACCCAATTGTTAGTCAATTGGCAGATCGCTTTCCCGGGGTAACAATCCATGACTGTTTTGAATAATTGGCTGCTATGTTTCACTCCCCCAAAAATATCAATCCACTTTACAGTATATTCTATGAAGTGCTTTGAGACTTTTCAACAATCTGATAAGGTGCTATATAAAATAAAATGCAAGGATTATTATTATTATCCCCTAAAAAAACTTAGCAAAACTACATAGTTACACACTTATCAGAAGCAGTTGTTTGTGTTCAGAAGCCAAATGAGTACTGGCTAGCAAAACCCCACCAAAAGATTATCAAGAGATTGCTTATTGTATTGTGCTCGCTCTGTGTTCTGAACATAAAATATAACAGTCTGATAACTATTGGTTACATGTAGAGCACTGGATTTGCAAAGTAAGAATTTTATGAAACAAATGTTTTTATGCATCTACATGAAAAAAAATCCATCTACATTTGTCAATTTAGGCGAATGGTTGTGGTTGGACAACAGTGTGGTGGATTTTGTGAACTGGAACCGTGGAGAACCTTCAAACCATAAAAATGAGGTCTGTGTTGAAATATACTCAAACACAGGTTATTGGAACAATATCCCTTGCACTATGTTCAAAGGCTACATTTGCAAAAGGCCAAAAAGTAAGTAATTTGGCTTTTTAGTTTGTTTCCAAAAAAAATGTTTGCTTTTGGTAATGTTTGAAACAATAAAGTGGATGTTAATTGACTTATTCCACATGTTGGTATGTCCACAATATAAAGTGAATTTATATTGAAATGTCACATACGTGAGGGAGAAGGTATAAGGAGGGGAAGGCTTCTGTGAAGCATAAACACTGGCACGGACTAGTTGAGCTGAATGGCCTACTAGTTGAGTGGGCTCTGGCCTGCTTCACATCCCCCGCCTTGCCCACCCCACCATTGGTGGGCGGGCCTTCAGCCTCTGCCCCCACTCTCTGGAACTTCATCCCACAGTCCTTCCGCCTCGCCCCCTCTCTTAACTCCTTCAAGACCTGTTTTTGACTGTGCCTTTGGTCACCCTCATACCCCTACCCTCCCCGCCCTCCAAACATCCTGATCTCAACCACCAGCTTGTGTGTGGATCCCTGTCCAAAGACTTGGGACGTCCTCCTGACATGAAAGATGGTATACAAATGTAATTTATTGTTGTTATTTCTATACTGTGATGTTCTATGTATGTCTGTTTACTTAATAATAATCTGTATATATTTTTGCAGTAATTGAACTAACAGAAGCACCTTCACAGACAGAAGGTAAGAGCTCACTGCATTAAGAGAAATTTTATTTTTATCCTGATTTACTGACTTTTATTTACCTATTACATAATAATCCTTGCATTTGATATAGGGCCTTATCACATCTTTAGACGTCTCAAAGCGCTTCACAGAATATACTGTAAAGTGAATTGTCTGGATATTTTGTTGGCAAAACGACTATATTTAAGACTATAAACTGATAACATTACCCCAGGAAAGAATCACTTCAGTTTGACCATAACTTTTGATATAGCGCTGTTCACATCAGGAGGATGTCTCCAAGCGCATCACAAGAAATCTGCAAAGTATGACTGTGTCCTTGTAGATGAACACAGCAGCCAATTTGGACATAGCAATGTCGCACAAACAACCTTAAAATGAATTGGTGAGGACATGGGTGAAACTCCCTTCTCTTTATTGAAAGTGCCATGGGATCTTTAATACCTACCTAAACGGGAAGATGGGTCCTCAGTTTAACATCTCATCTAAAGGATACCACCTCTAACAATTCAGCACACCCCTCAGTACTACACTGAAGTGTCAACTTAGGCTATATGAGTTCAAAATCCTGATGTGGAACTTGAACCCACAACTTTATGACTCTGAGGTGCGAGTGCTACCATCTGACACAGGCTGACACATGAATAATATGCTGATTTTGACAATTGGAAGGTTGCTATTACAACAGGGCAAGTATGGGAAAGTATTTTGCCTTCTCCCCCAGTCCCAAGGACATGTTTCTTGTCGGATGAAATATTAAAGGGCCTGTCTGCCTAGTGTCAGGTGGATTTTTAAAAATTCTATGATCTTACTCTAAAAGAGGAAGGATTTCTTTCCCCCAATGGTCTTGCTGGCAATTCTCCAAATGAAGTTCAGTCATCTTTTGCCTGTAACACTACTGCAAGAGTTATAGAGCACTGACATTTTTCATCATTTTCCTGATGTGTAACATTGAAATGCTGTTCTCGGTCTCCGAAATAGAGTTTAAAATAGGGAATCCAGTGTCTCGCTCAGTGGTTGAGTTTGAGAGTTTCCCGATGATCTACCTCAATACTGGCAGATGTCAACATCCAATGATGGCGACTCAAGGAAGTCACAGCATCAGGAGAAGCACAATGAGAAACACCTGACAGATGAACTTGTTACTTCCAGCAACAAGTTATTTAGGATCATGTTTGTGGTGTTCCTTAAAGCATTTATTGTGCTAATTAACACAGGGACCATCTTATGAAATATCTCAAGCGTTACCCCAGCACCCTTGATTTGTTTTAAATATTTAGGGAGTGTTGGATTTAAGGCGATATTATTTTTGAATTTCAATATGCTCCTTTTTCAGTTCTAGAGCAGAAGCAGCTGCCGAAGCACAGTGTTGCAGGGATTGTGGTGGTGCTGACTATTGTCTGCATCATCGGTTTTCTACTCACTGTCTACTTTATCCGGAAACAGAAGCAGAAGGCTCCACAAGCGGACACAAACTTTGACAATACTCTTTACTTCAACACGGAGAGCGCTGTTGGACCCGGTGATATGAAATCTCTCGTGACAAATATAGAACAAAATGAGCAAGGTTCTATGTAGTTTGCAAAAATGTTTTAAAAATATACTGGAGTAAAGTTATAAAATTTATATGCAGTTGGACTGGAATTAATTTTTAGCTGCAGGTGTATTCAGCTAAAGCACTATTTCCCTGCAAGATTTTGCACTGGAGCCCACAAATAACTAAATGTTATGACTACTATTATGCCAATTCAAGGTTTTAGTATCAATATCACCGATTCTTCAGTATTACTACTATTGCAATCAATATATTCAAAAAGTTGTAAATAGGAAACATATGATACCAGATAGGATCATATTTACGAAATAAGAGGAGTGGGCTTTACTTTCATTAACTGCTGAATGATTGATCAAAGTCCTATGATATGCAATATAGTGCTATTAAAAGCCCAACCCATGAGTAAAGAGAATGAAATTGAAACAAAGATCTATTCAATTCTTCAATAGTCTGTTATTTTAGTTTTAGAAGCAAATATGGTCCTTTTTTTAAATCAACAACAGCAAACATACATTTAGTTTGTATATAATCCTCTAACAATATACCTATGGCAGACTGTGATACCAGACAGATTAGGTGGGGGTCACAGCTACAGAATAGATTATATTACCAACAACAACTTGTATTTGTATAGTATCCCAGAGCACTTAAAGGAAGGGGGGTTTGAGCTAGGACAATGAATTTCTACAATAATAATAATAATAATCCTTGCATTTGATATAGCGCTTTTCACGTCGGGAGGACGTCCCAAAGCGCTTCACAGAACACACTGTAAAGTGAATTGACTGTATATTTGTGGGCGAATGTGGCAGCCAATTGCGCACAGCAATGTTCCACAAACAGTCGTAGATTGAAAATGACCAATTTATTATTTTTTTTTGGTTTGGGAGGGATTATTAGGCGTGTGGAGTAAGGAAACTTGCCCAAGGTTTCGCCCTGCCTGGAATTGAACTCAGGTTTCTCACTTGCAAAACGAGTGCTCTAACCACTGAGCTACAGGACTCCATAAGAGGCCAATCGCTTAATGCTTTCAAGATGAGATCAAATGGACTAAAGGGCTTTCGTTACCTAAAACTATACCACAAGAGAGGTTCAGATGGAGAAAACCTTTCACCTCATTTGATGTCATCCATCTAGAATACCAACCATATTATCTTCCCATTATAATATCCAGTTGTTTTCTAAATTATTCAAGTATCTGGCTCTCGTCAACCTTCCTGATAAAACTGTTCCACTTATTACATACGTGAAGAAATACTTTCCACGGTTGCCTTACAATTGCTCTTTACAACCCTGCACTATGACCATTTGCCCTGTATCTGATCTTGTGAAAATAATTAATCAATTAAATGGAGATAAGGTGTATTCTACAATATATATGAAATACTACGCTTTTTACATTACTGAATGGATTGAAGTAATATTTTGTTTCAATGTGCACAGATGTATAGAAATTCTGCCATTAAAATATACATACAGTATTTTGACAGCCATGAATTAAATAAATACCAATCTAATTATTTCACTTTCTCTGTGTCCTGTATATCAAAATACTGAATTGATTTGTATCTGGAATACTTAACGTATCAGTTATAAGATTGGGTAGCTCTTCCAATGAACTGGAACAGGCACAATGAGCTGAATGGCCTCCTTCTGTGCTGTAATATTCTATGAAGATAGTATCTAATGAAATTCATTCGTTATTATTCATTACCTTTTCCGTGTTTGCACATTGTGGTTATTTTACAACCTCTACAATATCTGTACAAATTGAATGCTGATGAACGGCTTATGATGTTTGGAATCCACTAGATAAGATCCAACTCTGAAGTATAGATTTCTGATTTATCCTGGCTCCTGATAGCACTCTTACCTCAGCATGAGAAGGTTCTGGGATTAAGTCCCACAATGGGACTGTGAACTCAGATTAAGATGACATTCCAACTGAGGTCCCCTCTGTGCCTGTCCAGGTGAATGTTAAAGATCTCATGGCATTATTCAAAAAGAGAAGTTGGTGTCTCTTATTGTCCTGGTCAACAATTCCCCTGGAAAAAAAATGGTCATTCACGTTACGGCTGCTTGTGGGCCATTGCTGTGTTCCGTTTGGCTGGTGTGTTCACCTACATATGATAGTCAAGACACTTTATAGTAAAACATGGGAGGCACTTTGAGATATCCTACAACGTGAAATGCACTTTATCAAAAGCAAGGTGTATTTGACAAGGGCTGTCTGGATTCATTCATCCAGTGCAATGGGTGGATGAATCCAAGTTGGAGGGGCTTGAGCAAGGAATGGAGAAAAAAGTGGTGGCAATGCATCCAAGTCTTTGGATAGAAATGGCAGATTGGAGAAATTGGAGAGTGTAAGATGACATATTTAGAGATAGGGTGAATAAGGGTACAAAGTTCAGAGCAATAAGAGTCCTGTCACATATTGGTTAGAGCACCTGCCTCGCGAACGAGAGGACCTGGGTTTGATTCCTGGGCATGGCAAAATGTTAGACAAATGGTCTTACTCCACAAGCCTCTGTTTACCTAGCAGTAAGTAGGAATCTGTTTTTTAGTCGATTGCCCGATCACTTTTCCAGGGGTAATAACCCCTTTTTTTAAAAAAAATTGCGTCAATTCATCCACGACTGTTTGTGGGACACTGCCATGCGCAATTGGCTGCTGCATTTTGCTCACAAAATATACAGTCAATTCACTACAAGTATATTCTGTGAAGCACTTTCAGACACCTCAAATAGGTGATCAGGCGCTATATCAAATGCAAGGATTATTATTATTAATGACCACAGTAAGACTGACAAAATAGACAAGGAAAGGATATGATGGATTGCAAAACATAAGACCACCACAATGAAATTATATTGTTTGCATTGATGTTGAACCACACTAGTAATATTATTTAGGCTTTTTGGTGCTGATGCCAAATATGCCATATACAACAACAAGATTCCATTTATTGAGCGCCTTTCATGTCGGGAGGACGTCCCAAGGCGCTGAATATACAGAGTGCAACTGCTGAGGTGCTGCCTTCTGGAGAATTTAAAACCTAGAAAACTGCTGAATGAACTCTGACTGATCTATGTTTTAGTTAATTCGCTAAATTTTAATTGTACGACAGGGCCTTTGGATGTTATAAACAAAGGGATTTTCCACTTAGTTTTGGCAGCAGTGCAAACCTCTCTGCTATTGTGTGGCACTTGGGCAACCAATTATCTAGATGTTTTTCTCCAGATAAACATAACTTTCTGCCAACAAGCTACAGCAGTAAGTAACAGCAGCCAATTTCAAAGCCATTGAAGAGTTATTAGGATTATCTCGGCCATTTCTTTTCTGACCTTCCTGAAATGAAGGAATCAGTGGGATAAAAAGACATAATTATAAGCAATCTCTTTATCCAATCCAATTTCAAATCCACTGAAATTTTTTGCCTCTTGTGACCTTGACAACTGTAAGCCATTACTGCAAATGAATAAACATTACATGGTCAATTTATTAGTTAGCAAAGGTCTTGGAACAAACTAACATTTCAGAAATGAGACCGTACCAAATATCTAGTTATCTAGTCTATCTTCCTAAAAAAACACAAACACACATACCACACATCACAGACACAGACAGACGCACACACACACTTTATAGTTATTTAGCACTTTTCACGTCAAGAGAACGTTTGAAGCATTGACACTGGGCATCCAGGCTGGGGCTGTTAGCTGAAGCTGGTGGGAAGGAGAAAGATGAGTAAAAGTATTATTATTATTGTTATTATTAACCCCGGCATCACTCTGGTGAATCTGCGCTGCACCCCCTCCAGAGCCAATACCCGAGCTGTGGAGTCCTGTAGCTCAGTGGTTACAGTATTCACCTCGCAAACGAGAGACCTGGGTTTGATTCCCAACAGGGTGAAACCTTGGGCAAGTTTCCTTACTCCACACGCCTGATAATAATTCCTCAAGAAAAAAAAACAATAATAAATTGGTCACTTCAAACCACGACTGTTTGTGAGACACTGCTGTGGGCAATTGGCTGCCACATTTCACCCGTAAATATACAATCAATTCACTTTACAGTATATTCTGTGAAGCGCTTTGAGACATCTAGAAGACGCTATATCAACTGCAAGGATTATTATTATTATTATCCTTCCTGAGGTGCGATGCCCAAAACTGAATGCAGTACTCTAGATAGGGTCTGACCAAGGCATACAGCAGGAGCATGATTTCTTCACCTTTGTATTCCAGTCCCCTTGAGATAAAGGCCAACATTCTGTTAGCCTTTTGGACGACAACGGAATACAGAATTACATTTGTAAAGTGCCTTTCATATCAGGAGGATGTCCCAAGGTGCTGGACAGACAGAGTTTCGTACCCAAGCTGGGGGTCGGGGAGGGTGGAGGGCGGGAGGGGAAGCAGGGAGGTCGAAAGCACGGTCGAAGAAGAGGGTCTTGAGATGGGTCTTGAAGTTGGCAAGAGAGACGGTGAGTTGGAGGGACTGAGGAATGGCGTTCCAGAGGGTGGGGGCAGAGTGGCAGAAGGCCTGCCTGTCAATAGTGGGGCAAGCGAGGCAGGGGACGTGAAGCAGACCGGAGCCCGCTGAGCGGAGGGAACAAGCAGGATGGTGGAGGGTTACGAGGTCACAGAGGTAGGGGGGAGCAAGATCATGGAAGGCTTTAAAAGTGAGGATCAGGATCTTGAACTGGATCCTCTGTGTGATGGGAAGCCAGTGGATTCAGGCGAGGATGGGGTTGATAAGTCACGGAGCCTGGGGCAGGAGAGGATGCAGGCTGCAGGGTTCTGGATGATCGGTAGCATATGGAGGGAGGAGTTGGGGAGGCCGACAAGCAATGAGTTTGCATAGTCAAACCTCGATGTAATGAAAGCATGACTACTTTTTGTACTTGTGAACTAATTTTTAGTGATTTGTGTACATGGACATCCAAATACCTTTATTCCTCCAAAGTTTTTAGTTTCTCAACACCAAGAAAATATTGGTGTTTTTNGTATCCATAGTGGATGACCTCACACTTCCTCACATTGAACTCCATCTGCCACAGTTTTGCCCACTCACTTAATCTATCTAAATCCCTTTGTAACTTCCTGTTCCCATCTTACACAATTTACTATGCCTCCTAACTGTGTGTCGTCTGGAAATTTGAATATAAAACTCTCTCTTCCTTCATCCAACTCATTTATATACATACGCTAAAAAGCTGAGGCCCCAGGACAAGACTCCTGGGGAACATCACTTGTCACATCCAACCAATCAAAGAACATTCCTTTTATCCCCACTCTGTTTCCTGCCTCGCAAACAATTACTAAGCCATGTCGCAAAGTTATCTCAGATTCCATGCTCTTTCATTGTTGCTAATGACCTCTTGTGCGGAATCTTATCGAAAGCCTTCTGAAAGTCCATATAGATGACATCCATGGACACGGCATGTTAGTGGATGGTGGAGTTGCGATTCAGCGAGTGGCGGGTCCTCGGGAAACCACGGTAAACTGAACGGGAGATGTGAGCAGCGAGGGTCGAAGGTTCGGTCAACAAAAGCTGGGTGAGGTAGGCTGTGGGCAGGCACCGGCGGGGCAAGAAATTGCAAATCTCCCACCTGTACAATGGGTGCGAGAGTCCACCGAGGCCAGAGGTGGACGAACGAGAGGTGGTGAGAGACCGGCGAGGCAAAGGTTCGGCTGCTACAGGCGCGTAGATGCCATTTCAAAATACCCTGCCTGAAAAATGTCCGAATCTCACTGCGGGATGTTACTTCTGGGTGCCATCTTCAAATCCGTCCGGGTAAGTATAGTGTGACATCACTTCCTGGCGCCTTTTCAAATCCGCCAGGGTAGGGTAAGTATAGTGTATATTTTACTATCCTTCTGCTACCTTGTCCTCTCTTCCCTCCCGATCTCTGGCACCTAAGCCATGACCGCCATGCCCCCCCTCCCCACCCCCACCCCCTGTGCTGTCTCCCGTAGCCCGTGGGCTGATGCTGCCCCGCTGATCTCTCGCTCTTGGTCTCAGCGTGCGATTTTTGGCTGCCACACCTACCCAATCTGTTCCCCCTGAAAATGTTCCGGCTCCCACCCCCCACACTCCGCTATTCCCACTCTGTCCTTCTCTCTCACCTGGACCCCACCATTACCATTACCTTCCTCTGCTCCAACCTGGGCATTCTCCGCCAGGCCCATCGTGGCTCCCAGGGTTGTTTGTCCCAGAGCAACCACCCCAACTGTCCCATCGCTCACTCTCTCTGCACCAACTGGCTCCAAAAGGCAAACACCCCTCACCCCTTCCTCATCCATACTCTAACCACCTCTCCCTGCTCCTCAAACTCCATAGTCATTTCTCCCCCAGAACCTCAAATCCTTTCTATACCATGCTCCCCATCACCGCCTCCCACCAGCAAACCTATCTGCATTTCCTTCCAAAATGTCCGCTCGCTCTTCAATAAAGCCCATATTATTCCATGACCTCATCCTGGATGAGCACATTGGACTTCTGTAGCTCTGTGGTTAGAGCATT